CTGGTTTTGAGCATTTCCACAACGACAAAACGTCCCAAATGGAAGACGTTTTAGAGGAGACGCGAATGCCCGTCTGAATATTTATGAAGGCGTGCCCATAAATTGAAGCGACAGGCCGGTTTTTTGTTTTTAAAGCTGAATCGTAATTAAAGATGAAAGAGACTGGACAGGGAATAGCAAAGGTAGTGATTTGTCTGCTTCGCACGTAATTGCAATTGAGAAAAAAAAAATGTGAATCTGAGTGAGTCGCTCTCAAATTGATCATCAAAATGATTTAATATAAGAAGGAAAAAATAATATCCCAATATTTCAAAGATTTTTTTAAGGAAATGTTCAAATTTCAGTGAAAAAGAATAAAACAAATTTAATATATTTTATTTCAAAGAAATGTTGCATTTGTATTAGATGCTTTTAGGAGGATTAAATAAATTACTCAAATACGAAACACATCATTTTCAGTCTAACAAACTAAACTACAACCAAATTTGACGAACCGTGTCCCAATCACTTAATTTATTGCTATTAGCAATCTCTAAATTACTCATACGTGAGGAATCGGCACTCGCTCCGCATGGAGCAACAGCAGCTTTTTTCCTAATGCTAATTTAGCAAAAGTGATTAGCAATTAATACGCATGCACAATCCAGAGCCTGCCAGGCAACCAATTTAGACGGACACGAACGTTACGGTGGGCAACGCGTGTCGAAAAGTGGGACGAGCGAGCTGGAAGCGTTTAGCAATGCGAGGCATATTTGTCTCGGCCATTAGCGCAAATTGCATATTGACCCCTCGGGAGGAGGCGCTAATAAAAAAAGCGACGTAAGGTCTCTTTCTTCACCCGTAGTTCACTGACCTTTCCCTCTCTCCCTGTGGCGTTTCTATTGTGAATTTTCGCTCGGCTTACAATCATGCAAGTCTGACTGCTTTCAATCTAATAATAGCTCAGTAATGACGGAAAATGAAACCTTTGAGCTATGCCTGAGAAAGGTAATTGTTTCAACATTCAACGTGCAGACACCGTCTGGGGAAATTTGAATTCCTGCTGCGTCTGGCCATATAAATTGCCAGCTCATACTAAAGCATGCATAAACTGTAATTGTCCACTTAACGCTCGATTTGCGCCGAGTTGCACATTTCTGGAGTGAATTTGTAAATATTTTCAACTTTGCTGTTCTCAAAACCAAAAGAGCAGGTTATTTGCCATGACACCAAAATTAAAGTTCAAATACACAGGAATCAGAACAAAACTTAAGAGAGTAGAATTCCAGTAATATAGAAAAAATTACTAATTTTAAGTATCATTTAAAACTAGATATATTTAAAAAAAATCTATAGCGATTTTCCATTTATTTAATTTTAAAATATCATCTTTTCCAAACACTTTTAATTTTAACCTCAGACCTACCTTGTTTAGGCTAGATATAAAAACGCCACGAATTTGCAGTGAACAGAGAACGTTTCAATACCAAAGCTTTTGAAATTTTGTTTTGTGAAATAGGTCTTTTGGCATCAAAGTTATGTTAAAATTTTAATGATCACTTTTTTAAAGAATGAAATATTCTTTTGCAACACACGACTCTTTAAATTGGCTCAAATCATAAATTACCATCCCCTTTAAAAGCGCCATCAGCACGGGAAACTTTTACCTCGCTTCTTTGAAATGAATTTTAAATGCATCATTCTATTTCGCGTTTCTTTTGATCTCATTCATTACAAAATTTCTCGCAAATCAGCTCTTTCAATGCCACCGGCAGTCGTGTGGCAAAAATCCACTTTCCTGGGCAGAATGCACCGACATAAAAGCTGAAAGGGCGCAAAAGTGCCTGGCAAAAAGAAGTGCCGCTTTCAATTTCAGACTTGAACGCGAAGGAAAAAAAGCTGAGCTTGGCTCCTTTTAAAAGCGGGAGGTCAAACTGTGCCGCATCTGCGACAATGGGCACATCACAGGGAGTCTCTTTGCTCACTTAGTAGGCTCGTTATTTTGCATGCATACATATTTTATTCAAAGGCCTCGGCGCCGTTTCCGCCGCTCAGTGCGATTTGGCTCCGACTGTACCAAGACGATAATCAGCCAGCAGCATCCCTGCCTCTTTTGCACGAGAAAAAAGACCCTTTGTCGCCAGACGGACGCAGAGAGAAAGAGAGGATGCCGCTGTTTTTGTGTGCGTTTCATTTTTTGCATGACGGATCAGAAGAAGACGGAAAACGGGCGGGAATATAACGACCGACCGACCGACCGCCTCGCTTGAACTCGCTGGCTCGGCTTGCTCGTTTAGCCAAATTGGATTCAATTTGTATTATTTGCAGGACTTGCGTAATTCTTCGTAACAAATTTTTGCACAGCCCCTTTGTTATTAGGCTTATAAAAGCGAAGCAGCTCGTTATCTGAAACTCTTAGCTCATTGCACATTTTATCATCCTTTGAAAAATGAAACTAGCTTAATTATTAGTAAAATTAGCCGATTTTCTTTTTTCTGTTAAATTCGTAATCATGAAATAAAAAATCAAGTCAGGTAATTAAGTATTCTTGATATTTATAAATTCAATATTAAATATTTGAGGTGGATCTATATTACATTTAATGGTATATAAAACCTATTGTTCAAATTTAAATAAGAAAAATTAATAATGATTGGAATATCTACATGAATTTTATAATTAAAGAATCCTGTTAATTTTGATTTTTTTTATCCCTCACTAGTCATGTAATCAAATTATGGCCAAATTCAAGGTAAATTGTTGCATTTCAAGGCTTACAATAAAACAATTATCTGTAAATTTCCAGTTTGATTAGATCTGTTCAGAACCAAAGGCATGGAACGAATGAATTCAAGAAATTAAAAATACTTCAAAAGTTTGCGCTTCCATGTAGTTACCCATTAAAAAAACGGTAGAAATTCGTGCAACACTAGCCGAATTGAAAAATTATATTATGGGAAAAATAGATTGCGCAACGAGATTGCTTTGTAAATCCCTCATTTCGAAATTTGCAATTGAAACATAAATATTAAATGTATAATTCCTAATTCTTCCTAATGTCACCGTTAATATAAATTGTGGATGAATTAGGCAGAAAATAAAACAAGCTAATAAAAAAGTTCAAACGTAATTTATAAACCAATTTAAATTTTTGTAATGTAGTCATACTTGAAACTAATATTTTAGCATGCGTTACAAAAAATTGGTATTGCATTATATTTAAAAATAAAAAGGAGCACGGAAAGAATGTTATATTAGTAAACAAGAGTATACTTTGATTTTTTTTTAAATGTGTGCAATCTAAAGAGAGAAATATAAAAAAAAATATTTTTTTTTAGAGCAATGCATTATTTACTGCTGGTTTATTATTATTATTAATTTATATTTTTTTTATTCATTGCATTTTGGGTAAGAAGTCGTCCCATTTTAGATCAACAGCCAATTTTATGAACTGCAAGTCTCGCATTTCCAAACGCAACATTGAAAACTCAAATAAGTGAAAAAGTGCTTCACGGAAGCCGTGGTCTGTTTCCCAAAAGTGATTACCTGATTCACAGAGCAATTTCTCGTTTAGATTTTTCCCCTTTAATGTCATAAACAAGACACGGTGACGCCGTAATTTGGCTAATGCGAATATGTGGGCCTCGTGACCGCGGCTTTTCCGCCCTTTCCCCACGTGCTGCTGACTTTCTCGGGCTTCTGCGCCAATAATCAGGCTGGAGGGCGATATCGATTTCGGCTTTGGATTGCATTAGGGCGCGGCGGCGGCTGAAACCTGATGATGGAGGAGAGAATTGGTATTGATCTGGCCGCTGGTCGTCCGTCCGCTGATATTGCCGTGAAGAAGCTTTTACTGCTGCACTTGGAAATTCCAATTTGTATGCCGCCGAAATCCAAAGCTTTGAGGATGCCCCTCCAAATTGAATTTCTCATTTTACGTCCGACTTTTATATAAATAATGCATTGTTTGCTCCACGAATTCCTTTCTTTTTTCCTTTACTTTCGACGATTGATTCTCCCCAAAGCTGCAATCAGGCGAAACCGTGTGGACTTTTTTCGTCTCATTTTTTTTTTTTTTTTTTTACGGCCGACATCATTTTGTTTCTGGTGCCACTCCCGAGCGGCCGAATCGATCCGCCGTCGCTGCCACTGTGAAATGTAATTTCGACAAAAGAGACAAAGTGCCTCATTGCTGCCTGCACTTGCGCAATTCCTTTATGTACTCGGTTAATTCGGAACTATCTTGCTTTGTGCAGGCTGCAAAGTTATTTATTGATGGACGCGCGGAGCAGCTGAAAGCCGCTCTGCACTGCACTTGTGTCTGAAAGTGCCAACAGTTGGCCGTGAAATCAATATTATTTCCAAGTCGCTGTTCCATGACTTCAATATTTCATGTCGGATATCTTTCTCAACTGTCTCACATTGCAAAATGAAATAAAAATCTTCTGCGTTTTTTTAAACGGGTATTAAAACCTTTATATATCAGGTCAGGGATGTTATTTCAGTTAGTTTACCAAAGCAAGTCTGAATAAATTGCGTGGAAAGTGAAGCTAATAAGAAAAATGTTCTTTCAAAATTCGCCCTGGAAGTTAATTAAAAAAAATCAACGATTTTGCATAATACTGCATAGTTGAAACAAAATAATATAATGTTTTCAGACCTTTTTTTTGACGTAAGCTAAAATGTTTCAAATAAAGTAAAATTTGAATGATTAAACAAAACGTTGAAATCACTTGAAAAATTAGAACGATTTTGTCATTGTTTTTAAAAATTATAAAAAATGGCGTGGAACTTGATGGGAATCTCGCACAGGAAAACATTTTACAGTAAAATTGCTTATGGGAAAGCTAATTAAACATCTTTTCAGATCTTTTCCTTTCTTTAAAGAAACTGAATTAAGTATCTAAATTCATTGGCTAACATTAAGTTTATTTAAGTTTCTGGAAATATGTAGAGGTCATTTTCCGTCAAAGCATGCTGTAAATAATTAAAAACGCGTTTTCGCTAATCCCTGTTCGCAGGCTGCCTGTGGAGGATTCTTTTGAGCGCTCTAGTCATTTTTATCGGGGTTCTGGTAGCGGGGGTGGAGCCCCCGACCCTGAGTACCTGAGAAGATCATCCTACCACGCTGATGGACTGAGAGGTAGAACTCGGGACAGGCCGTACAGAAACGGAATCTACCCATCACACAACGAAAGGTACGAGTATATGGGCTGCGGAAAATTTTATTTCATAACTTATTTATTTTATAAACAAGTGACGAATTAATGAGCCAGGCATGTTTTCGTGTGCAATCGTATAAAACTTATCTCTCGGGGTAATTCATTTCACAATTTGGGCTGGGCTCCTTTTGGGAGCAGAGAAGGAGATAAGACTGTTTGCGCGTCTCTCTTTGAGCGGGTTGATTAAAAACGTAACGGGCGCGCTGATTAATAGGCAAATAGTTAAACGGGTTGGAAGGGAAAGAAATCCAGTGTTAATTATCTCGGAGCACAGACATCTGAGCCATGAAACGTAATTATACGCTTCGGGGATGATAAAAAGTATCTGCCGGGGTTTATCTGTGTGAGCTGGAAATACAGAGGCAAGCACTGAGTTTTAAAATAATTTCATTAATTGTGTGATCGTAAATAATAGCATAAATACAATATTGTTGCATTGTTTTTAATTTCTTTGTTAAAGTAGAATTGATTGAAGAAATATGAAAATATTTTTTAGCCTAAATAGATAGATACTTTAATAAGAAAATTAATTAAAAAAATTGCTTTCGTTGTTACTTGCCTCGAATATTGAAGCTGAATTTGTGGTTTGCAAAGTTAAGTAAAATCTTAACAGAAATAGGAACTATTGTTGTTTCTTACATTTCTCCGCACACAAAGTTCTAGTCCATTAGTAAAAACACGCCCCTGACGTCCCCCGTACCTGCTTTGCCCTTTTCCATTTCATCCCGGAAACAAGTAAGAATGAAACTGTTGCCCTTTCGAAAGTGCCCATAAATAACATACATTTCCGCGGCAAAAGGGCGGCTGCCCCCGTCCATTCGAGGCTGTTGGCCAGCGCATGCGAGTCGTAATTTTAATTGGGCGTTGGTAGCTTCTCGATGTGCAGTGGTCATTCTGTTATTCAAAACATCCAGTCACGACCGAGCAACAACACGACTCGCGCGATAGCTCTCTGACTGGACACAAACCAGGTCATCTGCTTGTCGTCCATCGCTCTGCTCCGGTTCGACCTTTCGGTGACCCCCTGCCTGCATGTGGGCGTTTCGAGCCCGTGATTGAACCACAATGGGAATAACCCGTTATTCCGTTGCAAATATATTATGTATTTATATAAATATATAAAAGAGACTGTGTAATGTCGCCGCTCATTAAAAATTTGCCGAGCAGCTGCATGTGTCACCGACGGCGCCGTCGTCGTTCGCCCCTCTGCTGGAGAACGCTTGATAAATCGGATTCGCGACGCAGTTAAGAATGGGCGGTTGAGTCATCGCGGCCAAATTTGCCGGCACTACCGGCTGGGAGGTTGTTGTAGGGTTGCCTGCTGGATTCGGATCGTGTGTGGGTGGAATCACGGAACAAACAGTTCAACTTGAGTCTCTGCTTTTATTTGCAAGGTTTCTGTTAATGGCATAGACGGACTTAAATGTTAAAGCGGAATTGAATTATTATTAAATTTCTATTTTTAAACCTATGCACGTCTTTTTAATTAATTAAAAAGCGGACGAATGTATTATTAACGTTAAACTAGGCGTTATTTCATTTTTAAATTTCTCTTTCTGGTCTGTTCTATTTTTTATTCCAATTTGTCAAGGAAGATTGAGCCAATAGAGCTGGCTTTGAAATGTATTTAAAGAATCCACTGCTAACTGGATGATGAAAGAAGGCTTGAAATCGGACTCTTTCTCAGATTGATTTTACCGACAGAGCAGACTGTGACACTGATTGAAAAATGGCTCTCGGACGAAAATACCTGGCCGACCCATTGTCAACGCTGAACCATTCTGGCACTATCCTATTTTGTTTCTATCGATTCTCTCCGCAGCAGTCCGTAAAATTCCCTCAGTTTTGAGCCCGGCCGTAAATTTTAATTGTTCTCGGCAGAAGCAACAAAAGTCGTTTGTGCGCCGCACACGACTTGGTGAAAAGGATGTGCATCACGTTTGCTGCATTGAGTCGCGCCACGACGGCAGGCAGGCAGCACAACGAGCATTAAGTTTTATATTATTGTTCTGGCCATAAATACGAGAGCCTTCCTTATAGCTGTTGGTTGCCATAGCTGGCTGACTTGATGATATTCACGCCTGGGAAAGCGTGACGCGTATTATGGCAGCCTCATGTATAATACACGCGCGCAGCGGCGAAATGCTCTTTTGGAAATAGTACTCCCGCGATGGAAGCAAGGTTCTTTGTTTTTGTTGTGTTATCTCGCCGGCTGCAGTCTCTCATGCATTCGCATTACACCGCGCACAGCCACTCAGATATGACGAAAAGTATGGAGAGAAAGAGACGCTCTCCAGCTCGTTCCGTTTGGGTTTCTTTCCCAAGTTATTGACCTAAAAGTGCGTGTGCATGCACTCGTGTTTGTTCCCAGCGCTCGTCTGAAAATCCTGTCTAGTATTTATTAATAATTCTCTACCAGAGGAAAAAAATAAAGAATACAATACCTGTGGTATATACTTGAAATTTTAAATCCATACCTTTGTCAAAGAATAATAATTTTAAATCAAATTTAAGTTTACTCTTTTTGTTGAAATAAAAATATAAATAACAATTTTATACTGAAATTGAATTTCTGCCTTTTTAGTGGCAAATTGTTTTTTTTTTTTAGTATTTAATAAAGCAAATGAAAATATGGAGACGCTACATTCAATTTTTGTGTATTTGGAACTAGTATTTACATATAAATAATGTCAGCTTCTTCACATTCTCGTTTGTATCATGTTCTCCATATTTGTCATTCTAAATTTTAAGTTCAAATTATCAAGAAACGAGATCCGTTCTTATTTGATTTATAATAATATCATCATAGAATATCATAATTTTTAATTGCATTAAGTCTCACATCGATTTTAAAAGAATAATTAAACAAAAAATGAACATTGTTCAGCAAAGCAACTGACAAGAGTTTCTAGGTGTGACTTTCTGCAGCAATTTTGAAACCTCGGCAGTTTTGTAACAATATACAATATATACCTTTTAGAGCCGCCGCGGATAACGATCTCCGGTTGAATATCACCCCTTCACTGAAGTGCGGCCAAATAAAAGGGTGAAACTCGGCTTTTTCACCCATTTTTTTGTTCCCTGTACCGAAATCTTGACGATCAAGCTCTCTTCGCTCCAAGAAAAGGACACGTCGTTCCCAGAGGTCGATTAAATTTCAGTTGCAACTGCGGGGCGAGCAACAAAAAGAGGCCCCCTTGTGCTCGAAAAGACCGACCACTGCCGTCGTGGCATTTTAATTAAACTGGTCCACAACGCAGGCCGTTTTCGGCTCTAGTTTTTATGCGTTGCGTGCTGTCCAATTGTTATTATCATAAATATATACATGCTGTGCCGTAGGATTTCATGAAAAATCAGGTTCCACCGGCAGCGGCACTTAAACGTCAATCAGAGAGCAATTTTCGGTGGCGCGGACAAGTTTTTATAGCTGCTACCTGCCTGCGTTCTCATTACACACCATTATGCTGCTTTTTCGTATTTTATTGATTTCGGTTAGAAAAGAAAGGCGTGCTTCATTAGTCGCCCATTGTGTGTGTGTGACCTATAGAAGAAAGGGGTACCGACAGTCCGGGTGGAATGAAAGCCTCCTTTTCCCTTCATTAGGGGACGAAAAGGGTGCACGCAGGCATTTAAGAAAATGGCACCGACACGACGAGGCTCAGCCTTTTCCTTTTCCGCCTAATTCCCACTTTGAGCAGCACGGACGAGCGGACGCCCACGCTCGCTCCGCCGGCGGGCTGGCTGCCTCAGAATATCGATTAGGCATTATCAAGAGAGATGTTTGTTGCAAAAAAGGGAGAACTCTAATGGTCGGGGTCGGAAAATCGATTTTGCCACAGCCTCAATTGTTCCCGCTCGCTCGCCGCCTACAGAGTATTCCACTCTCAATATATTGACTGGAAAGCATGTTCCAAGGGTTCCTGAATTGACTTATGGATTCACATTTGAAATTTGCTTCCTCTGAGGACGATATTTGAAAAGGAACTTTCATTGAAACTGCCAATTTTTTCCTCATGTGAATATAATCACATAAATTAGGCAAAAAGATAAAAAAAAAATTACCTTACGTTATAACTTGTATATATTTTTGGAAATCGATTCAAATGTTCAAATAGCTTTTACAAAAACATAACTTTCATAATTAAAATTCTGCAAGCATCACACTTTATCGATTACCACCTCAAACTTTCATCGATAAAAATGATAACAAATGGCAAAAGTTTTGCTCTCAAGCAATTTATCGTGCGCCGACTTTTGACTCGCCATATATATTCGGCGCTTTTATTCTCGCCTGCGAGTTCAACTGGTGACTTATCTCTCTGGGTAGAAAATTGTGCATTTCAAAATGGAAAATAACACACGGGCGGCTGCTTTTTCTCTTTCCATGCTGTCACTTTCAAGATTCGTTTTTCAAGCTAGAAACTTTTGTTCTCATTGCTATTTCTGTGTGTTTCTGTAGTGGAGGCCGCAGCTCTCACCCCCAACAGCACCGAGGGAGCAGCGGCGGTGGCAGTAGCTCTTGGAACTACGACGGCGGCGGTGGAACGAGGTACGCCACCCCACCGGACCCCAATTTCCCTGAGGAAGGCCCGGCAAGACCAAATCCTGCAGCGCCTTCTTCGCCCGTTCAATCCACCCCTTCAGGTGCCACCACCCCATCCTCTCACATCAATTCTACCTCTGGCCGTGGCAGCAAGGGCAAACGCTCAAAGCACAAGTGAGTATTTTTTTTCTTTTCACACTGACAATGTGTACAATTTTTATTTTTACTTAAAATTTTATATTTGAATAAAAAAATTTATATTTATACTATTTTAAATTTATTTTTTTAATTCTTTTGAAAAAAAATTTAAAAAAACTTTAAACAATTTTTTTTCTATTTTTCCAGACGTCTTTCTAAGACCAGCATAGCTGCGGCAGGCAGTGGATCCGACTCGGATGCTCACAGCAGTGGCCGGGGTTCTCGTTCCCGTTCCTCGAGTCACTCCAGCTGTAGCTCAAGTCACTCCAACGCCTCCTCCTCCTCAAGTTCGGCGTCATCTCGGTCCCCTAGTTCCAGCAAGTCTTGTTCTCCTGGTAGCCGATCACACCCTAGGTTCCTACAGTCTTCGGTCTCACACCACAACAGTGTCTCTTCACATTCGTCCACTTACGCAGACGACCGCCGGCCACTGGCCATCTGCGTGAGGAACTTACCATCTAGGTCTAGTGGTGAGTCTATTTGAAAACTCCAAACACTGATCACCTTTTTAATTTTTGTTTTCTATTACTGTTGCAGATACTAGTTTAAAAGACGGTTTATACCATGAGTACAAGAAGCATGGGAAGGTGACCTGGGTCAAGGTAGTTGGCCAAGGTGGTGACCGTTACGCTTTGGTGTGTTTCAAAAAGCCTGAGGATGTAGAAAAGGCGTTAGAAGTGTCGCAAGACAAGCTATTTTTTGGATGCAAGATCGACGTGGCGCCTTACGAGGGGTTCGATGTGGACGACAATGACTTCAGACCATACGAAGCCGAGCTCGATGAGTTTCACCCAAAAGCAACAAGGACCTTGTTCATTGGCAACCTGGAGAAAGACATCACTGCTTCAGAAATCCGGAAACACTTTGATCAATTTGGTGAAATTATCGTGAGTGCCGAATCAGCAAGTTTTAAAGCGAAACGACCTTCAAATTTAAAACTTTGCTCGCAGGAGATTGATGTGAAGAAACAAGGCGCCGCCGCATCCTACGCCTTTTGCCAGTACGCAGACATCGGCTCTGTCGTCAAGGCGATGAGGAACATGGATGGAGAACACATCGGCAACAACCGAATAAAACTGGGCTTTGGAAAATCAATGCCCACAAACTGTGTCTGGGTAGATGGCATCTCAGGTAATTTACTAATGAATTAAAAAAATTCTTTTACTCATTTTTTTCTTTTGCATTTGCAGCAGAGACAGTGTCCGAAAAGTACCTGAATATGCAGTTCCATCAATATGGCCCAATTGCTCAAATAGCATTGGATAGAGATAGGGGACATGCCTTGGTGTTCTTTGAACAGCTCAGTTGTGCTCAAATGGCCGTGAAGGATATGCGGGGGACAGCGCTGAGGGGGCGAAAGTTGCAAATTGACTTTGCATCCAGGGAATGCCAGGAAGCATTCTACAGCCACCTCGAGAAATCCGGTGGAACAGCTGAAAGGCCGTGGGACAGAAGATCCTCCACCACTTCTGAACCTGCATTCGAAACAAGGTAAATTTTCCATGAATTTCCAAGTCTTCCAATTCAATTTAAATGATGAAGCTATTTTAAATCATTCGCGGTTTCCACCGGAGGTTTTGCTACTAATGACGGCTTGAATGGCGTCTGACATAAAAATATGATCATTAAAAAAAGATCGAAATTATCAGCAACTAAATTTCCTAAATTTGCTGTTCTCAGAGAGGTGCCTGCCCCCAGAGTGACTCGTTACGAAAGTGGCAGCAACTCCAGCACAAGATCAACCCCAAGAGTCCAGCCGCAGCACAGAGGCACCACCCCTGCCATTCCAGCAACCCCATCGCGGTCGTCGTCTGGCAGAAGTGGACGATCTCAGAGTGGACGATTTGAGTACTTTGATGAAATGCGCTTCAGGTATAAATTTTAGAAAACAAAAATCAATTTATTCAGGTTCTAATTTTATTTTAATTTTCAATTACAGAGCTGCCGAGGGAACCCATCCGCCCGCTGGCGCTCATGATGACAGTTACGAACAAGAATTGCGGGACTACGGCTACTCTCAACGCGAGAGACGTGATTTTGATGGTGATCCGAGTCAAAACGCTTCGCCTTCTGCCTTCGACGACGAGCCGGGCTCCACGGCCACAGGCTCGATCGTAGCCCGGCGGAGCAGCAGGCAGAAGAGCACTGCCAGCGAGCCGGCAGATCCCAGCCAGTCTCCTCCTCTCCGGCACACTAGTCCATCAGGCCGGGGAGACAAACTAGGAGGCCGATTTGGCAACAGCAGGATCCACTCGCTGTCGCCGAGCCCCTTGAGAGACCACTCGCCCGACAAAGAGGCGGGCAGTGAGAAAGACTCTGTCAGTGGTAGTGTTAATAAATCATGTGATCTCAGAGACCCTAGAATTGAAGATAGGTTAAAAGCAACAACAAGTGGTAATATTAGTGAGATAGAAAGGACTACACGCAGCGGTGGCAGCAGGTACAATGACAAAAGCGGTGATTCGTTGGCCTTGCCCCCACCGAGTGCGCCCGACAGTGAAATCAAACACCTAGAGAAGGAGCGGGTCCACATCCAACTGCTCCTAGGGCAGCTCGAGCCGCACAGCTCGGGGGATGAGGCAAGTGCCGTGAAGCGCCTCAAGATCAACAAGCCACCGGTGGACATGATGGAGAAACTGCGCAAGGTCGCTGCCGAACCCCGAAGACTGTCAGACCTGAAGGGGCGGCGCATCTCTACGGAGGGCTTCTTCAAGGAGCACCACAGTCACGGCCCGCACTACAATATTCCAAAACGACGTAAGACTGAGAGTTCCTCTGAGAACGACTACAGTGGACACCACCACCACCATCATCATCACCATCACCGAGACTCATCTGACAGCAGCCGGCCGGGCACGCCCCTCTGCGACGAGCGACCAACCGACCCGCGTAAGCCACGCGAGCGCTGCCTTGACGTCATGAGCCTCCCGCTGCCCAGGTTTGCGCACCAGGTGTTGTCACCACGCACCTCCAGCACCGGCAAGACCATTTACACCATCAAGTCTCCACCGCCGGCGTGCATCCATCCGAACAAGCACAGAGACTCAACCTCCTCGGTCACGTCCACCTCCTCGGCCAAATTGGTTGAGGAAAGGCGCCCGTCTGCCTCGTCAGACACTCCTGCTCCAGTGCTGGGCGAGGTCAGCAGTCCCAGCATGGTCCCCTCCTCGCCCAGACAGGAGGAGTCGTCCGACTCGGACGAAGATTCAGCCCGAGTTTCACCAACTCTGGAGGAGCGAATACGGATGCTGGACGAGAAGTACGAAAAGTGGTCAGGGACGCGGACCCTGACGGCTACAACGGCGACGGCGGAAACTCTGCAGAAAATCGATAACGAGAAACTGAAGCTTCGAACCAAGCTGCCTGATCTCAATGAAATCGGCAGCCGCCCCTCGGAAATCGTCAAGTCGCTGCTGGCCAAGCGCAGTGTCTTTGACGAAGACTCCAAACGTCTCGAGAACTACAACGAAAAGTACGAGCCTAAGGAGTTCCCTGCCGCGTCGCCCTCCTGGACCACCAAGGGGCTGACCACCAAGTTTCAGACTTTGAAGACTGAGGCGAAGGACGTTCTGCCCTGGAACAACAAGCCTGCCACTCAGGTGCCGGCGGCGCTGACCAGTCCGGTGACCTCACCCAAGTCCATCCTTCGGGGGGCACCGTTGACCCCGACGACGCCCACGGCCCCTGTTCCAGCAGTTAAAGCAGTTCCTCCGCCTGTCAAGCTGACACCAAAGACAAGCGTAGCTTCTCCTGTAGTGACGTCGCCGCGGCCCCTGCCGTCAACGCCGTCCAACTTGGCGATGTTGCCCTCTGTATCGTCGCCAAAGGGGCTGCAGTACCCCTTCCCAAGTCATCCGCCGGTGCCGACGACCCCACCGCCGCCGCTTCAGCAGCCGCTGAGTTTGGCTTCTTCTGCGGCGCCGCCGGCCGCGACCACCGCGAGCTGCACAGCGTCGTCCTCGACGGCTGCCGTTTCCTTGGTGACTGCCTCACAATTGCTCACGTCCCCACCTGTGAGGAACAGTCTGACCACTTGCCAGCCCCCTCTCTCCAGCCCAGTACAATCCGCCAGTCCCGCGGTCAGCATCGTGGCGGCCACAGAGCTGACGGCCACGGCCGCGGACTGGTCCTCAAGACTTGAAGTCAGCAGTGGTAAGGACACAGCCGGCAGCAACAACAACATTCCGCAGAGATCATCTCCGAGTAGTACGTACCTGCCAACACCGCCACCCTCTGTGTGTAGTTCACCCTCAGTTTCCTCTGTCTCAAGCATAGCAACGACTTCAGCCAAAAGCAGCCCACCCCCATTGTCAGATGGTTAGTAAAATTACCTTTTTATCTCTTTTTATCTATGAAAAAATTCAAAATCTATGTGTCGCGCTTATAAAAATTATTTCGTTTATATTTTTAAAACATAGATTTTTTATTCTTATTTTGTTAATTAGTTTTTTATGAGCAGTAATAGCTGTACAATAATGACGTTAATAATAACTGATTCTGAACTAATAATTTAAGATTATTTTAAATATTTAAAAAAAAAATATTATCACATAATCATAAAATTAATTTATTCATGTCAATCGTATTTATAAAGATTTAAAACTTTGTGTGCATTAAGGTCTATAAAAATGATTAAAAAAAAATATCAATTTCCCAATTTTTAATTTTTCCAATCTTTTTGTTCCAGGGAGTCAGGTCTCACCAGATGTGCGTGCGGTTTCTCCACCTCCACGCATACCTTCACCTCCTATACAATCAGCGCCGCAACCAACCCTACCAATGGTTGTAGACACCACCCTGAGCTCCTCTCTGCCTGGTCTCGAAAAAGAACCCTCCATATCACCTGCTCGCACCTCTCCCGAGCCTGACGTGGTTCCTGAGCCAGCAATTAAGCAGCAGCAGATCAGCAGCAAACCTGTGCCAAAGAAAGAGAACTGCATTGCCGTCAGCAAGGAGAGTAGCAAGGAGAGCAGTAGCAGCAGCAAGTCGAAGTCTTCATCGAGCAGTACCTCTTCGACGAGCAGCAGCAGCAGCGCCAAGAGCGACAAAGACAAAGAACATGCAAGCAGGCACAGCAGAAAAGAGCACACCTCCAAGAAGGAAGGCAGCAGCACTTCGTCCTCCTCGCACAAACACAAGCACTCCTCCGACCACAAGAAGGAGACCCCCAGCAAGGAGACGCTGGAACGGAAGGACAGCTCCGAAGGCGAGAAGAAAAAGGACAAGAGAGACAGTAGCAAAGAACCAAACAAGTCTGCAAACAAGTCACTCAATGTGCCTGCTGCTGTGGGCAACAAGAGGCGCGTCAGCTCTCAGGACAGTCTGGAAAGCAACACCAGTAGCACCCAGAGGTCCTCGACCACCAGCAAAGAAGCGTCACTGGAGCCTGAGGTCAAGAAACCAAAGCTTTCTCCCACTTTAGACAGCAGCAAGTCATCAAAAAAGATTTTTGATCGAAGAGAATCCAAGGATTCTAGAGAATCAAAGGAATCGAGGGAATCCAAGGACTCGAGAGAATCTAAAGACTCGAGAGAATCTAAAGACTCCAGGGAATCTAAAGAGCCCAGAGAGTCAAAGGACTCTTCCAAAGATGCTATAAAGGATGCTACCAAAAAAATGGAGGTTAAGAAGGTGGACGAAAAGCAGAGAGTGGATGACAAACAAAGAGTAGAGAAAAGGCACGAGCGTAAATCGGAGGAAAAGAAACACGAGTCCAAGAGCAGCAGCAGCAGTAGCAGCCGAAGCCAAGAGCACCGCTCTAAGGACCATGAAAAACTGAAAAAGAAGTCCAAGGTGGACAAAGAACCATTGCGCGAGTCTTCTTCCGCCAAGAAAGATGAAAAACCACCAAGTTTGCCAAAACCCAAAGAGGAGGAACGTGAAAACGAGGAGGATGCAAATCACCGGTACAAACCAAAGAAAGACTCGAAAGACAAGGAGCGAAAACACCACAGCTCCGAGTCTTCTTCCAAAAAGGAAAAGAAACTGGAAAAGCGCAAGGAGGAAGAGACGCCAAAGCCTATGAAAAAGAAGGACAAGCCGAGAAAACTCGATTCTGACAGTGAGTCCGAGTTCACTGACGGAGGTCGCCCGAAACAACACTCGATCTTTGACATTGTGGACGAGGGGCCTGTTTACATTTCCATGTATGACAAAGTCAAAGCACGCTCTACCAAAAACATGCAAAAACAGGAGGAGGAAAAGAGGCAAGAAAAGTTGAAAAAGAAGTTTGACCAGCTTAAGCAGTCAAGGGCCAAACGAGAGGAGAAAAAGAGATCAACCTCGTGGGACGAGGACTCCGACTCGGACCTTGACCGTGAGAAGAAAAGGAGGTCGCACCAGATGTTCATGACCAGCTCAAGCGAGGATGAGGGAAAGATCAAGAGAATTCCTCACAGTGACATTTCTTCTGCCTCTGACGATGGCGGACAAAAACTCAGGGAGAAAAGGCGCTCCCGAGCTGGTTCGGAAGAAAGTGACGAAGAGGGTCTTGCACGCAGCAAGTATATTCCTGGCTCAAGGAAGGCCTTCAAACCCAAAATCACGTCTGACACTTCTGATTTTGAGGAGATGCAGCACCAAAAGCACGCAAGCAAGCCTCTGTCCTCTTTCAACATTTACACAGATAGTGATAATGATGATATTAAACCAAAGTTGCCATTCATCAAGGCCAAGTCTAGGGAGCGATTTGACACCTCTGAGGACGAAGCAAAGATGGAGCGAATCAGGAGAAAAAGTTCGGAGGGTGAAACTCCTGCCAAGGTGCACAAAAAGAAGCAGAAGAAGCTGTCCTCCAGCAAAAAGAATTCCATCAGCTCGGAACGCCTCTCTGAATTGGACATTGATGAAGTTGAAGTGCGCCTGGAGCGTCTTGATGAGAACAGAATCAAAATGGAAACATCTCCCACCTCTCTTCTGGATCAAAACAAGAAACACCAGTCAAAGAGGGAAAGGAAACGATCGGGCCACAAGAGTACCGAAAAGAAGGAGCAAGTCAAGGAGGAGAGCAAAAGCAAAAAGAAAAAGAACAAGAAGGAGTCGCAGATCAAAGATTCTACCAAGATGGAGGACATTTTTGGCCCACTTTCGGACAACTCTGACGAAGAGACGCGCGTCTACTCCAAACCAATCAATAACAACGAACCTGCTAAGAAGCTCACAGTCTCACAGGTGTTCACTTCTGATTCCGACTCAAATGTGGAGATCCCCGTTCCTCCGCCATTGCCTCAGCCCATTGTAAAAGCAGAGCCAATTGTTGAGGTGCCGGTGAACCACGTTGAGGAGCGGCGTTACTCTGAGGAGAAAAAGAAAAAGAAGGACAAGAAGAGCAAGGACAAAAGGCGAGAAAAACAAAGAGAGGACTTTAAAATTAAGGTCGAACCTAATGACGATTCCCTTGAGGAGGCTGGAAGGAGCCTAGAGTCAAAACTCATGGAGGAGCTACCCGAGGAGCCCAAACCTGTGGAGCCTGACGTCTTCCGCTTCACCGACGACGAGAGCGTTGAGTCTGTTGGAAAAGTCAAAAAGAAAAAGAGGAAGAAGTCCAAGGACGAGAAGTCGAGGCACAGGGATGAGCACAAATCTTTCAAGTCAACCTCCGAGGAGAGACCAAAGAGCCCCAAAAAGAAGGAAAGCACCCCTCCTGAGGCGAGAAAGATCACCAAGCACTTTCCTGAGGTTGAGGCCTTTGATGATCTCGCGTCGCCCACGCAAAAGAAGAAGCCGGAAAAGTTCATCCCTGGTTTTGGTAAAGACGTGGACGAGAGCGTACACGAGGACGCGATCAAAAGCATTTCCAAGTTCGAGGAGGATCACAAAGTTCCCGAGCCTGAAGAGCCTGTTCCTGTCGTTGTACCTCCACCACCACCTCCACCACCTGAGGAGCGAGAAGAAAAGCCGCGAACTGGCATCTCTCAGGAGGAGACAGAAGATGCAGTGGCCGCCCTGCTTGGCGAGACCTTCGACTTCCGACGGTTCAGCGACGAGGGCGAGCCTCCTATCATCGAGCCCAGCCCTCCAATGCTCAACCAAGAGGACGTGGCTAACGAGGAGTCGCACTCCGAGATCCAGCAGGCCGTTGAGAGTCTTAAATGCGTCATGCCAGGTCAGTTGACCCCGCCGAGCGACAAGGATAAGTGGAAATCGCCACCTGAGTCGGCCAAGAAGGACGAAGAGCGTCCAGAAACTCCTCAGTCTGAGCACGACTTGCAAATCGACGAGGAGGCACACAGTGAGGATGAGGATGGCCTTCCCTACCCTGGCAACAGGTTTGACGAACCGCCCAAGACACCTGACATTAACCTTCCTCCAAAGACACCGGACACAGCGCCGAGAACTCCTGACATCGATTTCTCGCGTCCGCCCAAGACACCTGATTTTCCTGCCGCCTACTACCAGCAGCAGCAAGAGAAGGAAAGGCAGAAGGCGGTGCTCAACGACTTCAACAGCAAGCTGGCCGCCGAGGACGACTCGTCACTCATGTCCCCAGACATCAACAAGCAGATCTCAGACATTGTCGATTCGAAAATCTTGGACGACAAGTCTCAGTCGTCGCCTCCCAGGGAGGAAGAGCGCGCGTTCAGTGCTGTCACTGAGCAGAAGGAAAAGGATGACGCGGCGGCGGCTGCGGCCGCTGCTGCGGCTGAGGAAAAGCAGAAACTGCCGGCCATTGTGGTCGAGGAACCGCCCAAGACGCCTGTGGTTGAGAAGGAGCAGGCTGCGCCCAAAGAGGAAGTGCAACCGGTCAAAGTTGAGCAGCCTCTCAGGGTCACAACGCCAATCGTCAAAAAGGTCAGTTACTTTAAAATATTCCTGCAAAATTATCTTATTTTAAAACCTTTTTATTGTGATAATTAAATTTTTAATTAATTGTTAAGTATTAAAATTTAAAATAAATATCATAAAATTAAAGTAAGAATAACCTATTATAAAAATTTATTTAACTAAATTTTTACACCAATGCATAGCAAAAATTAAAAATTTTAAAACTAATCTTAAATGATATTTTCAAATTTAATTCATAATAAAAATGTTTCATTCAATGTTACAGGTGGATGTTCCTGTCATTCGAGATCTGGCCAGCCAAGTTTTGCCCAAACCAGAGCCACCTAAGGTTGAAATCAAACCACCTGTTGTGGAAGAGCCTCCGAAGCCAAAAGAGCCTAGCATTGAACGGGAAGTCACTCCAGCCCGCGAAGAGCCACCCAAGCCAGAGCAAGTCATCACTCCTGATGAAGTCAAGAGCGACGGCTCTGAACTTCTCTCTCCTGACTCCAAAATGGGATCCCCCTCAAACGACGAAATCACCACCAGGTCGCGCCGTGGAGGCAGAAGCCGCCGCGGCAGCCGAGGAGGAATTTCCACCAGAAGGTCTGCCAGAGGCAGTGGAAGCAGAATTGCCAGGGACGGAAGTTCCGACATTGTCGCCACACCAGAGTCGAAAGAAAAACAGGAAAGTCAGGCTGAAGAGTCCTCTGAAGAACACAAGGAGGAGGTCAAGGGCAGGAAGCCTCGCAAGGGGCGCAGGAAGAAGACTGAGAGTGAGTGCGAAGAAAAGGGCAAGCCGCGAACAGCCTCTGAGTGCACAGACGTGTATGAATTCCATGATTCGGACGACGAGGACTTCCAGTTCGAGTCCAAGAGCGTGTCTGGATTGTCTCCAACCAAACCAGAAGAGAAGATTCATGAACCACCCCCACCACCACCACCTCCAGAGGTGGCAATTCCAGCTGTGGTGGAGGAAAAGATTGAAGAGAATCTTGATGAAAGTCACATTGATGACCACGGAGCGTCTGAAGATGAAGGGAAACTTTTGCACCCACCCCTGTCAGGAATGGCCAACGTCAGGTCACCACCTGCGACTAGAAAGTCACGCCGTCTTCTTGAGAAAGACACTAGTCGTAGCACAGTGGATGATGTCATTGAAGAGGTAGTCAAAGGCAACTTCAAGGTGGATGATTTCATTGAGAGTTCACCCAAGAAACCTGCAAGTCGCGGCAGAGAAGAGGAGGAAAGGAAGCCTCTTGGCAGAGCTGTCAGGGGCGGATCAGTCAAACCAGACGAGGAGGAGGAAAAGGGGCCCGAAGAAAAACCAGTGGCCCTTTGCACGCCTTCCGTCGCGCCTCCGAAAATGTCTCCACCGGTGCCTCAAAAGGTCATTGAACTGGCCAAAGGAGCGGTCCAGCCCCATCCAGCTCATCTGCATGTCAAAACTGGAGACCAGCCAGAGGAGCCAACCACCCTCATCGACCCAGTCACAGGTCTACTCATGCCAATGCGCGAGTCCGAGGAAGGCCAGTACATTCCTGTCACAACATCGGCAGGTGTGCTCGTCATCAACCCTGCAGACGCAAGATTCGGCCGACAACCCCTGAGGTAAAGAAAAACAAAATTAAATTAATTCTATTCTGAATTTCAATTTTCCTTTAATTAACAGATTTTTACTAATTAAATTTTTTTATCAACTTACAGACTTCCGCCTGGGGTTCGTGCGCCTCTTGTATCTGCTCCTCCTGCAGGTCCGCCTCCAAATGTGCCAAAGCCTGCAGTGGTTCAACCACCTCAACAACAACAACAACAGGCTCCCTCCGCTCTGGTGACCAAAGTGCAACAGCCGCCTCCCGTTCCAAGTCCAAACAAGTCTCAGCCGAGTGCTGTAATCGCTCCGCCTGCGCCTGCCGCAGCTCGAGTGACCAGTACCCCATCCAGAATTGTTACCCCTGCACAGCAAGCACCACCACCACTGATAAGTCAGGGTGTGGTCAAGGTCATGACTTCAGCCCCGCCACCAACCTCAACCATTACTGTGGCAAAGGTAATTTAAACATTTCATATCTGATTTATTTCATTCAAAACTACTATTAATTTTAGAATAATTGTAAATTGAACTTGCAGCATAAAATTAGGATGATATTTTTCAATGTATTAACAAAAAATTAAAAATGCTCTTTTTTTCTATTAAAGGTGCAGCAGCCTCCAATGGCTCATCCTCAATCAGCACCGCCAGTGGCAAGGGGCTACCCTCCAAGGTCAGAAGGGCCTACGGCTGCCTATCCGCCGTGGCCTCCGACTTCCACTCCCGTTTCGGTGGTGCAGTCGGCTCCACCCCTGCCACACCCGTCTGTCATCACAGCTGGGGCTCGAGGCGTCGAGTTGCCTCGACCTGCTCACATGGGACCAGCAACTGTGCCCACGCCTCCTGCGGCTCACATGACACCTGCACACAGCAGACTGGTCACTATGGCCAGTTCACCTCCGGCCAGGATGACTGTGACTGCCTCTCCACCAGTGCAAAGGTCACTGACCATCACGCCGTCTTCATCGCCAGGACTTTCGCACACAAAGGTGTCGCCGCTGCCGCCTGGACGTCAGCCAGTGGCTAAGCCAATGCCTCCTCAGGTAAATTAAATATTGATAGTTCAAATAAGTCTCTTTTTAAGCCATAATTCATACTAAGCAACACAATCACAAGACATAATTAAATATCAAACACTGTCACAATTACATTTTACATTTTAACAACTTATTTGTTAAATAATATTGTTTTTCCATGTGATTTATATTTGATCTTGATAATGTTTTCTAACTCAAATAACATAATTTTAATCTTATTTTCCAACAGATTCCCGTGGCCCATTCAAGCAGTCACTTGACCTCAGTATTGGAGCCTGTTTCGAAACCAATGCCTGGAGTAGTGCCCTACCACCCTCAGCCTGCTCATTCTGGCGCTTCACAGTTCCCTCCGGGCTATCGTCAAGTTGAGCCCCTGAAGGTCAAACCAGAAAAGAAGCCTGACTCAAAAGACGAGCTTCCTCTGTCTATGTTGCCACCACGGTTGCGGGTTGGTGCCGTTGCAAGAACTGCGGCCGCCCTGCCTGGCGCCAGTGGCCTGGCCACCGAACCACCCAAGGTGGACGTCAACATGAGCGGCTGCATTGTGGCCAACCAGCAGCAGCAGGTGCCGCCCGCAAGGAGCGGTAGCCGCGAGTCGCCGCTGTCCAGACCGCATCTCACGCACGCCCAGGTGTTACAGGCAGGAATGCCCATCCCAGCCTACGAAGCGTCACTGGTAAGTTTCGCAATTTCTTATTCTGGCATGGGGTGTTATTGGTTGCTGAGCTGCTTCAGACACTAACATGAGTGCTTGTGATATAAGAGATATTGTTTTAGGGGCCACAATTTGAAATTGATTGAGATAGATTTAATAATAATTGGATAAATACAAAATTAGATTTTTTTTTTTTCAAGAAAATAAAAATTTTTATTTGTGCTATCAGAAAAAAATGATCAATTTCTATCAAATATTGGCTTTTTTCTTCCTATATTTTCTGGTGGTGGTTTCTTTCACTTGACTAATTGGGTGCTGCATGCTAACAGCAACAACACGCCGTCGAGCCGCCAGTAACGGCCAGCGGAGGCTCAGCGGCCTCTGCTTATTACGTGCCTCCGCCTTCTCTGCCCCCGCCCTCTCATCACCTCACCTCCGGAGGACAGGTTATTGAGAGGGTCCGGAACCGTCCAAGCGCCTGCGCCGCAGGAGCACGCCCGCTTTCGCCGCCTCCTGCCCACCAACAGGTACCTTCGTTGGGAACCAATTAGAGAAAGATTTTCTGCTTTTGCATGATAGACCTTAGTTTTTTTATTTTGTTTTGAAAATTATTTCTATTTCGTTCTCAAACTGACCATCTTTGTATTTTTTCTTACAGGGTGAACAACATGTGGCGTACGGTGGCATCGCTCACCACCACCTGAGACCAGGGCCAAGTGCCCCGAGGGACCTTTACTTGGTGCAGCAGCACTTATACCACCAGCAGCTCATGAGGGCGCAGCAGGAGCACCTGCCGCATCACTACCACCACCTGCCACCAGGTATGTGCTTTAAAATTCAAATGGAGTACTCAATTTTTGTTTAGTTTTAATTTTCTTCATGATTATATTTCAAAATATAACGCTTATATAAAATGATTTCTAATTTTGTCTCAGGTGCGGTGCGCTCTCCAGCAATCCCAGGACTTGAGACTCAGAAGGCTGATCAGCCAGAGGCCGGTGGCGAGGCCATGGGGGTTCACAGTCCACCCTTGGAGCTCCGCCGGCCTGCCAGTCGCGGCGCCAGGCACGGCCCAGTGCCCCCGGCACACCTGTTGTCGCCACACGACCGCAGCACAGACTCGCCCCAAGTGGCCACCGTCTATGGCGGCGCCCAGCGACTCATCCACCACCAACACCTGGTTGACGAGCGCCTCGCCCCCAGAGGCCTGCCGCTGCCTGGACACCTGCACAACCAGCAGTATGTTGTCTACGAGGACGAGTACAACAGGCATGAGCCGCCTCCAGCGCACCACCGTTTGGCTGCGGCGGGGGCTGTCCACCCCAGGGTACACCCCATTCCTGCCGCAGAGGCGCCGCCAACCCTGCCTCTGCTGCAGACGCCACTAATGCCACCCTCGCAACCCCAGGATGCGCTCTTGGACGTAAGAAATTTTGTTATTTCTTGTGCGCATCAGTTTTTAATTGATATTTTATTTCTAATTGCAGCGCTATCCAATTGTGTGGCAAGGCATGCTGACCCTGAAGAATGACTCAGCCTGCGTCCAGATGCACTTTGTCCATGGCAGCCGCTCAATTGCTGAAGACTCCCTACCCAGAAATGAGAATGGTTCAGCTGCTCTGCTCAAGATCGCTCAGAGGATGAGACTCGAACCAAGTCAACTTGAAGGTGTCACCAGAAAAATTCAGGTGAATATTGTTACCTTGATATTTTTTATTAACATTTTTGTATAATAATCAGTCAATGTAATGATGAAACCAATTTTTAAGACATTTTTATAATTTTTACTCACTAATTTGCAATTTCAGGCTGAGAAGGAGCACTGTGTGCTTCTGGCTCTGCCCTGTGGCTTGGACGAGCATGACGTTCTACTGCAAAGCAGCAACCTGTATACCGGATTCCACAACTACCTAATGCAGAAATCAGCAGCGGGCATTGTCAACACCCAGAGCAGGGAAAACCCGCAAGCAACTGTAAGCATCAAGTTTCAATATCTCAGATTTTTAAACTTCCATATAAATAATTGCAAAAACAACAAAAAGCATTTTTAAATGATAACTTTTTTCTCAATTTTATTTCTCTGGAAAGGTGTTAAATATATTTTTATATTTCTAGCACTCGTATGTGGTCCACATCTTTCCTGGCTGCATGTACGCCGCTGACCAGCTTGGCCGCATTGCGCCCGACCTCATGACCCGAGTGAAGAACATCTCGCACCTGCTGATTGTCGTCGCCACCAACACGTAACTCTCGAGCAAAAGGAAATCTTCCCAATTTCAAAAACAGACAAACATAGTCGATCAATGTACACTCTAATTACACATAAGAATACGAGACTCAATTAATATCGATATGCGCAGCTGGCTAAATATGTGGATGGTAATTATCGCTGATTGTATTTCTGTTGTTCGATGTTGATGTTGGGTTTTCCGCCATCGGAGAAACGTAATATATATTAAAAAAGAAAAATATTCACTTCAGAAAAAAGAAACTTTTGAAGTTGGGAGGGGAAATCGATTGTGAGAAGGAAGGAATTAAGGGTGCGTAGCATCTCGAGTAACCAGCCACTAACCCAGAGTGTAAAACTAAAGTAAAAACACAGAAGAAGCTTCCATCATCTCTTATCTTAACGAAAGCATAAGTGAATAATTATTAATGACGATAATTATTATAATAGAGATAAAGGCAAAAAGTATAATGGTAAAAATTGTTATTCTTCAAAAAGAACACACGACACAGAAATACAAACAAACCACACACTCACTCACATGATAATATCCAATATTATTAGGCCTACTCTCGTCATCAAGTACTACTACTGCTATTATTACCACTTAATTAAGTAACAGACACTGTTGTTCAGAAGCAAGAAGTTATTTTTATATATGTCTATTTTTTTGGATTTCTGTTTCCATTGGTTCTCTATAATGCTGTCACGAGAGAGTGCAAAGCACAAGTTCGTTCGACTCCCCCACACATTTTTAGATGTTTTAATTTGGATTTATTCGCCCAAGAATTGGTTTACTAATTTATTTATTTTAGCGTGTAAGTTAAAAACACAGGACTTGGATGTTTATTCTCGATTGAATAATGAAAACTCTAAACTGAAGTCAGTCATCATCCGACCTCATACGAGAAAAAAAATACAAACACTAATTATGATAATAATCATAAATTATTATAATTATTAAACAATGCATCAAAAACATTGTACTACATTAAGGGAAAGAAACCTATTACCACTTGTTGTTGCTGTAAAAAAAACCCACCTCTTTAAGAAAAAACAAATTATATGGAAAAATGAAAATAATAAAAAAATCCCTATCGCCTAATTATTAATAAGCACTTGTAAATTTTGTATATAACATATAGATCTATGAAAGAAGATAAATAATTAATAAAAACGTAATTAAAATTAATTTGCCGATTTTTCATTTTATTTTACATCATTATTTCTTTTTTCGGGGCCATAACCCTTTGTCAAGACACATACACGAGGAAATATATATTACATACACAACATACTTACTGATATGGATCAAAATAGCAAGATAAAACTGTGACAAGAAAACGGAGTAAAAGGAGATTGAGTGTTAACTGTCCGAAATCTAAAGAATTTTTAATTCTCCGATTTGTTGTTTGCAGAAGTAAAAAAGATGCGTCTGTTTTTTTCCATTTAGCTCCACCACACATCATAAATTGTAAGCGTATAAAATATGAAGTCTTTATAGAAAGATCAATAGATCTGAAATGGAAGCGTTTCATGTCAGTTTGCTCAAAAAATGTGTAACTCGTCTTATTAAAACGTGAATTAAAACGCAACTGTTATGTAGAACTACTGCAAAAAATTACTGTCCAGATGTGCATCTCTTTCTTATTTATCTAATAGGGCAAGCAAAAAAAAATCAATATCGGCCAGTGGAAAAATACTAAACATATAAAAAAGAAGAAATATTAATAACCGTCTATTTTCATGTGTAAAATAAAATCAGGAGAAAATTATCCTCACTTAAAAATGATGTTACGATTGTTAAATTTTTTCAAAATGTCTCTTTTAGGACTTGAAAATTGTCACTTGAATTGATTTTATGCAAAACCACTTGTCTCTGTATAGAACCATAAATTATTTCACAAACACACACATATACACACAGTTTGTCATCAAATTAAGAAAATCTCCGGGTAGCTTTGATATGTAAAAAAAAAAATATGTATTTATTATTGTACAAGATAAATGCGTTTGGGTATGTATGATTTCCGCGTTATTATTACTACCGGATAATTAATAATAATTGCAAAAATTGTAACAGTGTATATATTTCAGAGACTATCTTAGGCTGTGATTTCACTGCATTATGGTATAATAATTGAATTGTGTAATAATGCATTCATTCTCATATTCATCGACTAATTGCGAGCATCACACTCACTCACTCATGCATTCATATAAAAAGAAAGAAAAGGGACACGCATTAAATTATATCCACACTACCATAGCATGAATAAACGCGACTTAACATGACAAAAAGCAACAAAAATGGTTAAAAGAAAAAATTGTTTAAAAAGCGGAAAATCAGGAAAATTCTTTCTCTGATCAAAGATCGTCCAGGATGAAATAATAAAAAGATATGACTTTGATTTCCACATTATTTAATTATTATGGTACATAATGAAAATAAAAATGCATAAAAATTAATAAAAATCAAAATCTTTCATTTCATAACAAGTCCCTGATTGAATTTATCAAATGAGATTATGTAAGTGTCAGAAATTATGAAGCCCATAATATTTCAAAAGCTCAACAGATTTATTGAATCTCCTCCTAACTCCAAAACAAATATCTAACTCGCAGCATATTTTGAGAAAAGACCTTTCAATGGTGTGAGAGCCTCCACAACTGTAACCCCAACTCCCCTGGCGAGGGCAGCGACCACATTGTTGGTTGTGTACAGGCGGTGCATTCCGTCCACCCCAAACATCAGGGGCAGATTGTGTCGTTGCCGCTCCTTCTCGTAGTCCAACAATGGTTTCAGTTGTCCTGATAATTAAAATAATAATTATTGCAAAATTCAAAGACAGAAAAATGATTATTTTATTACCGAGTGCTGTTCCATTTTGAGCGCTGGTGGCCAGAATTTCCGTCAGGCACTTGACGTCTCCAAAGCCAAGGTTCACACCCTGACCGGCTAGAGGGTGGATTCTGTGGGCGGCATCTCTGCAATTCAATGGGAATTAGAAAAAAAATATCAATAAAAATACGAAAATGACTAAAATGAGAAACATTGTCATAATGGATTAAAGTATAAAAAAAAAAATCAAAACTGAAATTAATATTTATTATTTTTTCATTGGTGATTATTTTTTACGCTTAACTTATTTTTCAAACAATAATCAAATTCATTATTTACCCAATAAGTGCTGCTCCATGTTTCACGTAGTAAGTAGCGTGTCCGAATCCCAAAGGAAAAGCAGCCCTGCTGCCCACTTCTTCGGACGCGATCGACGGCTGCATTTGCTGCGACCCTGGGCTCGAGGACGAGAAGGGCAGGAGGGAGGCGAGGGCTCTGCCGACGGTGCGTGTCGCGTCCACCACCAACGGGTCTTGCTTGTGCTGCTTCCACTAAAAAAATTAATTTTATAATTGTCACATAGTCCATAAATAAAATTATTTTTGAAGTTTCATATTCAAGCTATTTTTGTAGTAGAATTTCAGGATTGAGGGTTGATTCATGGTGATTTAAGAAAAACAATATCCTGCTCTACATGTTTCGGCTTTGGTTGCTGTGAAATCATTTTGACAAGAATTATGTGGTACAAAAATCAATATTTTTTTTTAAATTATTTTTCACGGAAAATTGTTACTTTGAAAGAAATTTGATTTTAAAAAATATTGATTTTTGTACCACATAATTCTTGTCAAAATGATTTCACATCTCATGAATTATGGCTGCAGCAGGATTCATTGCAGTTATGTAGAGCAGGATATAAACTGTTTTTCTTAAACAATAAACAATTCACAAAACCCATCGAGACTTTAAATTTCACCATATATATTTTTAATACACTTCAGAAATCGAATAATATTAAAAATTAAAATGGATTTGTAAATTAAAATTAATTTAAAAAAGCGTGATGCAGTCATATGTGCAACTCAGATTACTGGGTCAACCCCAGCTGGGTGTTTCTCACTTGAGAGCTTCCACCGCACGCCACTTCCCCTGCTAGATACCACTGACATTGTTTCCATCAGATTTTCCTTCGGAGGTCAGAGGTAAGCAACGCACGGATTCCACAGACAAGTGTTCAACGGATATGGGCACCTGTGATGCGGAGACCACACACATGTTGTTAATATCAAATTCTTTTCCTAGCAATTCATACTCGCAAATCGTGGTCGCGTTTACTGTTTACACTTATTTTTCAATCCTCCTTAGTTTAGGAATAGATATTTGCAACATTTTCTCGAAAATAATTTTAGTTATCAGTTATTTGCTTAAAAAGATTTAAAAATTTCAACCAAAATTTTGTTCATCATGGTATAAAAGGTGTTGTTTGAAGTGAGCGCAGTCGGAAATTAGAGATTGACGTTGGATTTACAAGATTTACTGCGTAATTTGATGGATCAAATTTATTTCTATAAATCTCAAATATAAAATAACTAAAACCGGTTTAGCTTTTCACAATAAATTATGTTTTATGAAATTGAAGAAAAGTTTTAAAATAAAAATTGAAAATAATGACAGAACCTTGTCTGATGCAATTAAGAGCAAAAGAGGCTGATGAGAGACATCATGTCTTGGCCTAGTCCAGTAAAATTCGCCTATTTCAAAATAAAATACGCTTTTAAAACGGAATGCAAAATTAATATTCTTGATTTCAAGGCATCATAATAAATCCTCCAACTCATTCTAGTTTTAATTATTTACTTAATTTATGATTTATAAAATTGAAAGGATTTTTGATAATTTTTTTAATTTGTTTTTAAAAAGTGCAGTCGCATTGCCCCTCAAGTTAGTCATCGCCCTTGGGCGGGTCGTGGGAGGCGCTTCACAGTGGCTTTAGATCAGGGAAGATTCATGGTGGGCGCTGGCGCAGAAGACGCACTGATGGGCCCGTTTTACTCATTAGCCTGCACACACTGTGAGGTCCAGTGGGGACCGTCGCGTGACACTCCATGCAGATTCTATGGGCACTTGCGAGGTTCAGACCGCACGAAATGAGGCCGCCAAAATGCTCCATGCCACTTTACACGACAAATCGTGGCCGCATTTAAATTGCGTGGAATGTTCTAAAAAAATTTAAGTCCCTTCACTCGTTTTATGGTTCTTTCAGGTCCTAGCAGAAACTTTGTAATTTTTATGTTTTAGAAGATTAAAATAATTTTGAAACCAAAATCTTGGGGGTGAGATAATTATGGCAAAAATTTTAATTTTCATGATTTTCCGATCAAACTTGTTCAACGCCACCTAGGACAAGTTTGAACAAGTTACGACATGCTTTGGTCACCTTTATGGCTTTGGTCTTGCCGAGGGAGCGCAAGCGCGTTGAGCAAGCGCGCATCACAGGGTATGATTATTATATAATTATATTTGAACAAAAAAAAACTCATGTAATAAATCAGGGCCGTCTGCGATACTCCTTAAAAATAACACAATATCGAAGATGAACTTACAAAAGCTTCATTGACAGCGTCGACGAAAGACTCGCTTGGCAGCGACAGGACGTGCTTTGCTTTTTCATTCGGCAGGGACCACACAAGTGAACTCATTTCACCGTTCAGCTGAGAAAATCGTTATATTTTTTTATTGGAACTAAAATAACTCATATTGAAGAAGTACTCACCGGAAGAAGAGCGATGGGACCGGTGGGGAGAAACCTCTGCCAGGCCACCACATTGCTTGTTGGCTGGTGACAAATTAGAGACCCATTAAAATAAATCGTTAAAAAAATTCAATCTCACCTCTGATAGTTTTAACGTTGCAACAACACCCATGAAATCGTAATTCCATGAGAGATATTTTCCACCAATTGCTTTCCTCACTTGAGATCCAGCGCCATCAGCTCCAATCTGAAATCATAAAAAATTTTGATTTAAAATATTAATTATATTTGTTTTTAAATTTTGCTCCAGCTTTTTTTTTAAACGGAGTTTTTATTTAATATTACTTTCAAAAAATCTGAAGGCAGCCTTTTAAGATTTGCAAGCGTAAAACTCCGCAAAAACGAATTTTTGGCAACTGCCCTAATTGGTTGCTCCTGGTGTGTCTAGATAGGAAGTGGCAATGCTAAACTTAACAGCCATCGAGCACCCGCTAATTAGATTTCGTAAATACAAACGTGACAAATGTTTAATAAATTGGAAGTGGGTTATTTTTGGATCGGCGAGAACCTGCTGGCGGGGAAAAATCATCGGACGAGGGAAAAAAGTGGCGGCTCCGTGGAGAGGAGCGCCGCGGCAATTGAGGAACAGCGGACGCGGCCTGCCTGTTTCTACTCCAGAGACTTGAAGATAAAGCTACTTGTGAGTTCAGAGGAATGAATAGGGTGGACTCGGGACCAGATGGCTGACAACGCAGACGAAGTATTTTCAGGCGTGAGTTCACAATAGTTTTGTTTTAGCACATTTTTTGAAAGAAAAAAGTTAATTTTTTTGTATAAATATTCACGACATAAATGAAAATGACAAGCTTGCTTACTTTTTTATGATCACAAATTAAAAATTAACTGGATCATCGGTATAATGTTAATGTTTTTAACAATGATAAGAACCAAAAATAATTTCGACAGTAATAAAAAGGAAATCAAGTAAAAACTAGGGCCTCATTTGACCAAGATTTGTCCTTCCAGTGTCAGTTTTAGTTGAGAAATCGCTATAATATTTAGTACAAGATTAATTTTTATGACTAAAAGAGTAATAATTTTCATATTTATTATTGATGGATTTAATGTAATAAATTCCTAATGAGATTTAAAAAAATTTAGGAAAGTGATTTAGTCTAGAAAGAAAAAAATTGTTTAGAGTAAAAAAATAACGGAATGTAAAAACCCACAAAACATAGAGTAATTATATTTATTTGAAAACATACGAAGAGGACAAAAAAACTTAAACTTGCCTATTTTGAAAATTTCTGTAATCAATTCGGTGGCTTTATAATTATTTCCTTAAATTGGTCATCACCATTTCCGCGAACGCCAAAAATACATCTGAATAAGACTATTGAATCCTAACGAGACAGTAATAGGGTATTTTTGTTTGTGAGAGATCAGGGCAGTCCACGGCATAAATCTCGTGCGTTCAAATGCCACTCGCTGTAAACAATGAGCAGCAGCACTTTTGAAATAATAAACAAAAGCTAGGGTGCTGGAAATTTCTCGCCGTGTTCATCATATTTATCTAAACTCTCTTGGAGTTTGTGCGTTTTTGGGCCCGAGCCAAGAATTCGTCCGTTTTTTCCGTCAAAAAATTGACGGCGAGATGGTGTCGAGATGAGAGGCCTTTTGGCCTTTACGGTCGCTTAATACGACACTTAATTTTAACGGGCTTTCTTGGTCGGCTCCAAAACGCCAACTCAATTGATGGCCACTTGCACCAGGAAGACGCATGTCAACGAAAGGGAAATTTCATGTTGATGGGGATGTGTCAAATGTCAATCGCAGTGATAACAAAAAATAATACGAGCAGAAGTGTGAACCAAGCACATTATAAGGAATGTGAAAGTCTAATTATTCTTGCTACATCTTAAATTTTATTTCAATTTTGTTAAAAAAAGAAAAAAAAAATAAATGGCAAAAAAGTGGGAAAAATATGAAAAGAATAAATTAGCTTTTATAGAAGCCAATGTGAAAAACTTGTCCAAAAAAAATTTCAAAAAATTGGAAATTTTAATTTTTTGCACAAACCCAATTGCACGATCTACAAGAACCCAGTCTTTTTCAAATAGGCCAGAAATCTTTTCCTATTATTGTAACTCAATCTTTTGATTTTTAGAAGATTTTTTTTGGAGGGTTATTCACACGTTAGTTGAAATTGCAGTTCCTCAATAAATTTTGTGAACTGCCTTTTTTCAATTAAATCAACATGATTTATTTCCATGAATAAAATCTAGAAATAATGGAATGAAATATTATTATCAATATTATTGATTTCAGAATCGAACAGCTTCAATTACATTATAATTTTATCTTTTTTAATCGATAAATAAAGTTTCTTAGCGAGAAAAAATTAAGAAGTTGTTCATCTATGATTCACGGAATTAAACTTTTATTTTTAGATCGATGATCGTCCAGCAGGATCGGCACAGTCTCTGCACGAATGGGTCATCGCTAGCGGCGGCAGCATTTCATCAGAGGCGAGTGCTGAGACTGCCGAAGACGTTTTGACCAACGACTACCTGTCGACGCGCTTCGAAGACGAGACGCGCCAGCGAAAGCCGTCGAGGGCACCGGTCGAGGTCACCGGACGCGACGGAGTGTGGTCGGCCAACGAGGTGGCCCGCGAGCTGCGCGCCATGGCCGAAGGACTTTGGGACTTGGCCAATCGAGGCGAGGAGAAGAAACTGGTCGAACTGGTGATGCTCAACGGCATCAACTCGCCAGTGGCCCACACGACCCTGCTGATGGCCGCCTGGCACGGCCTCACCGCACTGACCCACAGATTGTTAGCCGAGGGCGCCTCCCCAGCAGCTTGTGACACCAAAGGAAGGTTGGGCATTTTTTAACGACAAAAAAATTTTGCTGTTAATTTAATTTGTAATTTATGTGGTTAAAAAGTGAGAATTGGATTGATATAAAAAAAAGGGGATTTAAAGAAATTACCTTATTAAATACAAAATTAAATTTTTAATTTTAATTATTTAAAAAAAAATTTTTAAATTATTTTGCAATATATACTTATTTTTATCAAGAATTTATTTCACATGAATGTTTTTTTTTATAAACAAAAAATTGAAATTTTTAAATTATTTCCTTCTTTGTGTATTGAGTTTTTTTTTTTAACAAATGACCGAGAGTAAAATCTGTGTTAATAAAATGTTTTTTTTTTAAGGACGCCTCTGCATTTGGCCTGTTGTGCGGGTGCTGACGACTGCGTGTCCCACCTTTTGAAATCAGGTGCGAATGCGTCCGCGTGGGACAGTGGCCGCAAAGCGACCCCTCTCCACTGCGCCGCCGGTGCCCCGAGTCCTGCCAGCGTCAAACTCCTCTTGGAAGCCGGTGCAAGTCCGAACGCGGGCCTCTCAGGTCACAACACAAACCGAAGTGCCCTCCACTTGGCCGTGCAGGCCAGCAGCCCCGAGTGCGTCCAGTTGCTTCTTGAAGCGGGCGCCTCCCCCAACACACCCCAAGTATATAGCGAAAAGGCTTTTAATTTAAAATCAATGTTTTTTGCAGTTGTTTACAGAAACGCCTCTGCACCTGGCAGCAGCTCTTGGGGCTGCGGAATGCATGCGGCTGCTCCTACACAGTGGAGCGGATGTTCGAGTTCAGGTTAGATTTTTATTATATTTACAAAGGCACATTCGATTTATTTGAATCTTATCAAATATTTATTAATCAAAGTCATATAATACTTAATAATACTTATCAGAACTGTATAAATCAAATATTTATATAAACATCTTCAGAAATATGTTATTTATAATAGATTCACAAATTGCTCTTGGATGAGTGTTACGTAATTGTAGAGTAAAGGTAAAAAAAAAGGAAGAAACGTGACAAGTTGTTGTAACAACCAGAGGGAAATGCATTAATTTCTATTCTCACAGTCTTCGCAATAAATTCTTATGAAAATTAAAAACTAATGATTCTTCAGTCGAAGTCCACCGTGCTGGTGATCTCGAGGTCCAAACAGAAAATTGTGTTTTTGAAGAAGTTGCTCCAAACTCTGTTTCGTTCGGACGACCTGCTGCTTTGCTTTTTCTTGGTCTGCACCACCTTCTTTTGCTTCTTCAAGGGCAACGGTTCCTTGAAGGTGTTGTCTGAGTTGGTTTCGACCTTCTCCACTTCCATCTTGCTAATAGCATCAGGACGATTCTCGTCGTTCTCCTCCGGGTCCGGGCAGGTACTGTCCGGCACCACCTCCTTGTTCTCCTTGATGACCTCTTTGTCGAGACCAAGTTGATTCTCGTGCTTTTCCTCCAAGGGCATTTCCTTGTCTCCTGAGGAATTCAGCCCTTCTTCGTCTGTCTCTGTGTCTCGCAAATAATTTTCGTCCTCCTCCTCCTTGTCTACATTTTCCTCAGAGTCGACACCTTTGTTATTCTCCGTCAGGGCCTTGACCCTTTGCTCCAGCTGGGTCAGCAGCTTCTCTCCAATTATCGACGTCTTCTTTTCGTCGTCAGGGTTGTTGAAAAGCCGGACGCTCGGAGCCCAATCCACGTCACAGACCTTTTTGAAATGGGCCGGTTTGCCTGTAATTTTGAAAAATTCGCGACGTCAGTTACACGTTCTGATTGAAAATTGCAGTAATATCGCGAATATTTACCTGAAACGAAGTGATCCTCGCAAATGTCAGTGTTGTCCAGCCTCTTTTGGGTGAGATCGTTCCTTGTGCGGGTGAGAACGGTGATCCATGCCATTCGTCTGCGGGTGGTCAGAAGCTCGTCCTGCGTGCCGCGGTGGGAGATGACGCGGGGGATGCGGAAGAATCGCTTATTTGGGTGCTTGACCTTGTTGTTTCTGCAGTGGCTCACACCACAGCTCCGTGCCATGGCTGCGAATTTCCGTCAAAAAGTTCGGCGATTTAAAAAGCCGGACGTATTTTTCCAACGCGCGTGTTTCTGTTGTCGGGCAGGGGGCCGTATGGGGAGTACACAAAGGAGCACAGTGGAGAGTAAGAAACTATTGTCTTAGTTCTCGCTGAAACTGCCTTGTGAGTTTTAAATTGACCAATTTAAGCTAAAATTAATAAATTTATTGATAATTGTAATTAAAAACCATTCAAACAAAGAACGTTCGGTTACTTTGGTTTCGAAAATTAGCTCCTGAGTTAACTCCCTTCAAGGGAGATCTCGTTTTGACGTGAGAAAAAAAGAGAAGTTACGAGAACAGACGCCTCTCGAGGGCGCGATGGAAGATCACGAAAAAACTTCGTCAAGGGCAGTGGGCGTTTGTTTTTATTAAAAAAAATAATTACGGCGTCTTGGATGTTTTCTGTTTTCTCTCGCAAAAATCGGGAAATTTATTATTGATGTAAAAGAAAAATATATTGAAAATCATCAATCAAAATTACGCAAAATAACTCTTGTTGCATAAAGATGAGAGAGGCTCTCTCTATCATAAAATTAGAGTGTTTGGTGAAAAACGTGTAAAATTGATCTAATTTTCAATATTTATGAACTGATTTACACGTTAAGTTTCTACTAATAAATCTAAATTTTAATAATCATAAGAATTTCGCGTTACATTATTATACATATTTTTATAAGCAATTAGATTTTATCGGATTTTATTATACCTGCAAATTTTTTTATTTAAAATTTTTGTAATTTTAAGGATGATTTTTTCCTCTCTTTCAATTAGAGAAATCATTTCATTAAAAATAAAATAGTTTTTAAAAATGCTATTGAATTTTAATTAAGAAAAATTAAATATCTTCTGAACTCAAGTTTAAAATTCATTTTTTTTCAGTTTTTGTTTTTAAATTTTAAATTTTTTTATTTATTTTTAAAGTGACTCTAGTTTTTGCAAAAATAGGCTCAGCTTGGTTCATTGCAGGTTTATTTAATTTAAACCCTTTGAGCTAAAATTTAAATTTGTATTGACTTATGAATTATGTATTTTTTTGATAGGTAGGTCAAGAGAGAGCAACGTCTCTGCACTTGGCGGCTGAGGACGGAAACGCCGACTGCGCCCGAATGCTGCTGGACGCCGGCGCCAGTCCGCACGCACGCAACGCCAGAGGACAAACGCCGGCGCATTTGGCGGCGCTCGCGCAGTCGGCTGAGACGCTCGAGCTGCTCCTCCAACGCGGAGCCGACCCCAACAGCGAGGACACGGGCGGTCGGACGCCCCTGCACAGCGCCATCGTCAAAGGGTCGCGGTCCTGCGAGTGTGTGCGGCTGCTCGTCGAGCACGGCGCCGACGTCAACCGCGCCGACGCTTACGGCTACACGCCGCTGCACATCGCAGCACTCAGCGAATTCTCACCCTGCGTCGAACTGCTCATCACACACGGTGGGCATGTTACGGCAAGGTAAAAAAAAAAATTGAAACGAAACTTGCAAAAAAGGCTAAATTTAAATACAAAATAATTCATTTGCAATATAGTAAAAAGTAAAAATTAAAAATTGAATTATTGTTTTTTTGATTCATTTAATTAGAATAAATAATTTTTCAAAGAATTTCTAATCAATGTATTATAATAAAGAATATCTCAAGATGTGATTTTTAGCAAAATGTAAAATTTTGTATATAAAATTTCGCAGAACAAAAGGAGGAGTCTCAGCCCTGAGTTTTATGGTACGAAGAACACCAGACGCCTTGCAACGCTTCACCGAGCGTCTTGACGCGAGCATTTCTCTCCACGAACATGAACTGGGTGACGTCGACTGCACCCTGAAGCTGGATTTCAGGGTCCTGGTGCCGAGAACTTGCCATGGAGAGGCGGAACTGCTGCTCTCGTTTGTCGAGTCAGGTCAAAGACACCTGCTGCAACACCCTTTGTGCCAAACGTTCCTCTTCCTCAAGTGGAAGCACATCAGAAAGTTTTTCCTGATCAGCCTTTTGTTCCACGCTCTTTTTGTGGCTCTGCACACCAGCTTTGTCATGTCCGTCTACCTCGAGCCGCCAATTAACAACACCAGAGCTCAATTAGGTTCGTTATTAACTTGAATTTGGTCCAAAATTTTTAATTCCGGTTTTAAAATTCCACCGAAATTTAAGAGCAAAAATTAAGAAAATATATTTTTGCTTGTCATGTTATTAAAAAATTTTCTCATTCAATTCAACTTTTTTAAATCTATAATTATTTTTAATATTTTGTTTGCAGGGAGGGAGATAAAGATTCGAAAACTCAGCGAGCTGCCAGTGTATGTAACCATTTTGGGCTACTTTCTGCTGGTATTCAACATCATCTTGGTGCTCAAGGAGATTTTCCAAATGGCACACGCAAAGTTCCACTACATGAGGCGTTGGGAGAATTGGCTCCAGTGGCTCATCATTGGCACTGTTTTTGCGTGCGTGGAAGCTCTGTGGCTGGAGAAGCCCCGACTGACCTCCTCCTGGCAACACCACATCGCAGCCCTTGGAATTTTCTTCACATGGCTCGAGTTGATGATGCTGGTCGGCAGATTTCCCATGTTTGGACTTTACATCCAGATGCTGACAACTGTGGCGGCCAACTTTGTCAAGTTCCTTCTCGCCTACTGCTGTCTTTTGATAGCCTTTGCGCTGAGCTTCACCCTTCTGTTTCCGCACTATCCAGCTTTTAAGTAAAAATTCTAATTTTACAAATTATTTTTTAAACAAATTTTGAATTTAATATTAGGACTGTGCCACTTGGTTTGCTGAAGACTGTGGTGATGATGATTGGAGAGTTTGAGTACGAGGACATGTTCTTCACCAAAGAATACCCAATTATTTACGAGGGCACCCTCCACATGCTCTTCTTCATTTTCGTCCTGCTGGCAGCTGTGGTTCTCATGAATTTGCTCGTCGGTCTGGCTGTCAGTGACATTCAAGGGCTGCAAAGATCAGCTGGACTGGACAGATTAGTTCGACAAGTAATTTGCTAAAAAAAAATTGTAAAAAAAAAAACTAATAAAATTTCTTTGATAGGCAGAACTAGTTTCGCACATTGAATCGCTGCTCTTTTCCAAACTTTTGAAAATCATCCCAGGCGGAATTCTCACCTTCTGCCACCAAAACGCCCTGTTGGTTGCTTCTAACTACAGGTGGGCCTTTTACATTCGACCCAACGATCCCCGCGAGGCGAGAATTCCAAAGGATTTGATCGAAGGGTGCTACCGCTTGGTGGCAACGAGGAGTCCCAGAAAAAGAAATAAAGACACCATGATGAGGAATAATAGGAATGTTTCCCAGTACAGCACCACTTCCGCACACCACTCTCGAATCGACACGAGTCTGTTGGAGCAAATCCAAATCCAGCTAGGCGTCCTCATGCACAAATCGGAGCAAAGTATCACCGCAGAGGGCAGCTTATCGCAAAGGATAACTAATCTGGCCAACCAGATTGAAAATTTGCGCCAAGAATTGGTTAACAATAAGAGGCAATTGTCAATACCTAATAGTGCGAATGGAACTGTGGTTCCGGACCTAAGTTCTTCCATTTAAAGTTTAGATGAATATCAGAGAAATTTTAAACTTATAAATATAATGCATTTTCAATTCACAATATATAAGCATTTTGAAAGGTACTCACCAAAAGGCTGCAGGTGATTTTTTCTCCTGATGAAAGAGTGACGGTGGGTCTTCCAGACAACTCATCCAAATTACAGGACTCGATTTTTGCCCCATATTTGACAGTGGCTGAGCTGTCAGTAACTCTTTGCGTTACTGCTCCCATCAAGACGTCATTTTCGACGATGTAGGCTATTGGATCGTCCAGCTGAGGATTGTTGAAGTTCAGAACAGCCTCGGAACTTGCCTCCCAAACCTAAAAGTTGAGGGCAATCAATACATTATATATTAGTTGATTTACTAAGCGAATAAATTTTAATTTGCCTGCATTTTTTTGACTGGACAAAATCTGGCAGATTCAATCAATGACCAAGCTCCAATTTCCAACATCAAACCTCTGGTGGCTTCACTCAACGCAGAAACTCTATTGCTGTATTTTGGTGAGATTTGGTATTCTTTAGCAGGTCCTGCCTCTAATAGAAGTATATTTTTGTCTTTGAGCATAGAATTATGAGCTGGAAGTTTAACCAATAATTAGTGATTAAAGTGTAAAAAAATATATATTTTAATTTCGTTTGCAAAACAAAAAATTGCATACCTAATGAACAAGCCATGGTCGTTCCAACCATTCCACCACCAGCAATGACAATGTCATAGTTGCTATTTTGCACGTTTTCCTCGGGTTTTTTTGTAGCTGCACTGCAAAATCCACATCTCTTTGGTCCGGTTGTGGTAATTTTTCCAAGGAAATTCAGTCGCCAACAACGAACAAGCATTTTACAGGCCAAGCTGTCAGTCGTCCTGAAAAAATTTAATATTTAAATCTTCAATTTATAAGAATTGATTTATCTGTTAACAAAATAAAAATTAAATTATCCGTTTAATTAGTTTGATATTTGATACTTTTTGCATTTAAATTTTTGTGTTCATCTTACTTTTATAAATTTTAAATATAATTGAAACTAATAATTATATACGAACCTTTACACAAAAATATATATATGTATTGATCGAATGGACGAAAATTTATCAATTAAATTATGAAATATGTACTTAATTATCTGCTGTTAAACTTGGAGTTTTAAGTTTAATTACATAAAAGTATGTTAATGTTTTGTTTTTCTTCTCTTTTCACATCTGAGTGAAGGAAAAAGATGCCAACTATGGCAAGATAATTTAAAATTGAATTACTGTTATAATCTTCAGAAAATGTAAAAATTCTTTAAATTTAATTAATGTTGTTGTTATAATTAATTTTTTTAGCTAGATTTTTTCAAATTCATTTACTTCTGCAATGATATATTACTGGTTTAATTTTCAAGTTTTGCCAAGTTGGCATTTCTGCAATCTGAAGGGTAAAAAGTAGGTGTGGCTCCACAGGAGAAATAAACATCGACGGCCGGTTTTAATTTATAGCAATTTAATTAAGAGGCCAAATAATAGTTATAAGATGATAAAAAAATGGATTATAACAGAAGCCGAAAGATAAAAATTACTTGAAAGTACGAAGTGCAACGGATGTCGTGAAGAAGATGTTGAAAATACTTTAAATTTCAATTGATAATAGGTACATGCATAGGTCTTTTTCATTGTTATTTGTTCCCTTCCATAATATTACTCGCACCTTTCTTATTGGAAAATTATACAAAATAATTTATTAATTACATTATCTATTTCAGCACAAAAATGCTGCCCGCCATACCACTTCTCGTGCAAGCCGGCATGGCTTTGGTTGCCAGTTATGGAGGTTACTGGTACTACGACCAAAATCTGCGAGACTTGGACGGTGACCTCAACATGCCTATGCTCAAATTCGACCTCAACATCAACATCTTTGGCCAAACAGAGGCACTGAACGCGCTGGTAAAAAAGCTCAATGAAGTTCCATCAGGCTATGGTGCGGACGTGATTGTTTTGTTTGGAGGAGTGGGCGTCGGGAAGACGCTGGCCCTGTCCCTCATTCGGCAGAACTTCTCGCAGCAGCGGGTCATCACCAGTGTAATTCAACAAAATTTAGAGGACCTCTCGCAGTCCCAAGAACTGCACAGAACGCTCAAGTCCAATCTGTGCCGGGTGAAAAATGGATTTGCCCTGGTCACCGTGGACAATGCAGACATCTCGAGCGTCGACCTCTGGCGCTTTGTCAAGGCCGTCGATAACATTTGTTTACAATTCAAGATCAAAGCCAAAGTTGTGATTGGAGCTCAGCTGTTCCGAGAGACCAGCTCTGAAAATGTTCGCGACCTGATTTCGCACTCGTTCAAAAGCGAGGACGAGTACACCAAGTACATCAATGACAAAAACCAGAAGGTCTGCTCGTATTTCAACCGCTGTTCAGCCATCATGTTCAGACCAATTTCTTTAGACACTTTGAAAATGTGCATCAGCGCTTCGGCCAAGACACTCACTAGGATGGACCTTACCGAGAAGCAGATGGGCTATTTGCTGGCGCAGATCACCGAAGTCGGACTCGATTATGTGCCTGGCGGCTGCAAATCGGTCGAAAATTATGTGGCACTGCTGCATGATGGACTCTAAAATATGAACTTTTGCACATAACTTATTCTGACGATAAAGTACACACAGAGAATTGCACTATTAATACCAAAGGCTGATTTTATATAAATGATAATACGTAAAGCACAATTTGTAAATTCATTAAATTATTTTACTTGTTTTAGACGTTTTGCAGATTAAAATTTTTTGAATTACTTTTCTTTGTGAGTTTTGGTTAATGAAATGCTTGGTTCAGTTTATAATAATGAATCTGAAAATATAATTAATTGTGCGGATATTAAGTTTGATTCAAACTTTTGGAAACTGAACTTCAGTATTTATTATTATTATTTTTTTTTTTGAAAGCTTAGCAAATAAGCTTAAAATTGTTGACCTCTGTTTTTAAAGTCTTTTTTTGCCAAATTTGGTGAGTCATTAAAATTTGAACTGAATAAATGATAGAATTTAAAATATTCTTTCATAATTGTTTATTTAACAACCCCCTCTTCCATAAAAAATTGTTTCACTCAAATCCAACAAAGAGATGATCTGATAGAAAGAAACGTAGTGTACAGTTTGCGGCTTTTCTTGTTATTGTATTTAGGGTCAATGTAATTGGTAACGGAAATAAGATATGCGTTATCAATAAAACGCATAACCATAATATTTTTCTTGGTCATAAACTTCCGCCACTTACGGATTGGCAAACTGAACTTATACTTTATGCAAGGCTTGCAACGAGTCTGTGCACGATGTCGACTGAAGAAGAAAACACCGTCGATGGACAAATTTTGTCAATGTCTTCGTCCACACTAATGCCCAACAGGGTTTCACAGGCAGATTTAATGGCCCAAATGTATCCCAGCGTCCACAAAGCAGTTAAAGAGGCGGCCGAGAAATGTTTGCAGCATCCCGCGATTCGGAGTCGCGTCACCAGCTCGATTTGGGAAATTGATAAGTATGCAACAAAAGTTTTTTTTAAATAACAATAAAAATGATCGCTGCACTCTTAACAGTTTCAATCCGCCTCAGCTATTTTCGGTACGTCACTTATACTAATTGCATAAAATTGGCATTAAATATTTTTCATAAGGCTGACCAGTCAAAATGCGTCATCCTCACTGTCACTGTTTTGAATGGAACAAATATCACCAATGGGAAACTGCATGACATAGGTTCAATTTAAACAAAATTAATAAATCATAACCTGATTCTCTTCAATAATACACCTTAACTAAATGTGCAGTTGACACACCTGATCCTTACGTCACATTGAGATTGACGGGAACTCCTAATCGCTACAAAAAAACAAAATGCATTTCTGATTCGAAATTTCCTGTTTGGAATAAGCAATTCAAGTTCTTGCTTCCGGAGGACACAAGCGACCGCGAGTTTTGTCTGTGTAAGCATAAAAGCATTTAGAAAATGTCTATATGCAACCTGCTTTGCATCATAATGGGGTTTTCCTATGCATATTTTTTTGTAATTGATGCAATTTTTAGTGGTTGGATTGTCGGAATATGACGACCTGATTGACGACAAAATTGGAACGTACAAAGTTGATTTAAATCATCTTGATCTGGTGTATGGAGAGGAACAGTTTTTAAGAGCAAATTTTGAAAACGTAACATAATTTATAAAATAAATTTATTTTTGAAAATAAATTTACGTTAACATTATAGGGTTCTGTGGTCAATTTGTCAATCCGCAAGGATCTGGAGTACTTATATCAGATTTTAATTAAAAGAAAAAAATTAATATTCAGCTTTCCAGCTCATCTGGGCCAGACTTGCGTTACAATTTGGCTTTGTGCGACGACGAAAAACAGTTTCTTCAACAAAGAAGGGAGCGCGTGTACATGGCAATGCGCAAACTGCTTGGTGACGAAAATGGGCCGATGACCTCTAAAGAGGCAAATAGATTATCGAATAGAGTGGAGGATATTCACGGCGAATTTCTCTCATAATTAATATTTTATTAATTTTCAGGATTTTATTTTTTAAATCTTATAGTCAATATTTTTTTTGAACGAGCAGGTTCCCGTAATAGGGTTGTTGGGTTCTGGAGGTGGATTCAGAGCAATGGTTGGTTTAAGTGGAGTTTTTTCTGCCCTGCACGACTTGGGGATTTTAGATTGCGTTGCCTATGCCGCTGGCCTTTCTGGCTCTACTTGGTATTTGCAAAATTTGAATCACTCTAGAACAATTTTTTTTTTATTGAAAAAATATTTAACAGGTACCTCTCGTTCCTATACTCGCATCCTGACTTCCCTGAAAAAGCACCAAGCAGTTTCAAAGAGGAACTGAGAGAGGTAGTCAACCAAAGGTGGCTTTGGATTCTGACAAAAGGGGCTGTTGGTTACCTTTGGCAATTGCGAGAAAAGGTGCGAATGACGGTTGAATAATATAAAAAAAATCCAATCCCACTTATAGGCCAAATCAGGACAACCAGTGTCTCTCACTGATTTGTTTGGACACATTATTGGGGACACAATTTTAAAAGACAGGAAATATTTACTGCTCTCAAGCCAAAAAGAAGTTCTTGCTGATGGAAAAGTACCTATGCCGCTTTACACGTGCCTCAACGTGTTGAATAACGTTCAGGCAAACGTTTACCAGGCAAGGAGTTAATATTAATTTTATAATTCTCCATTAATATTAACTTATAAATTCCAAGGACTGGGTGGAGTTCAGTCCTTACGAGATAGGAATTCCAAAGTACGGCACTTTTATGAAAACGCAGGACTTTGGAAATAAGTTCTACGTAGGAAAAATTATACGGCGTTTTCCTGAGGTGCCGCTCCACTTCCTTCAGGTAGAATAAATTTTTTTGAAGTAAGAATGTTAAGCTAAATAAAAATTTAGGGAGTCTGGGGTAGTGGTTTTTGCATTTTGATCAAGCGATTTTTCACCTCTTGGGGTGACCTGGAAAAGACGGTGTCCACGTTCGATTCCGGGAGAAAAGATTGCGAAATAGAGATAGATGGCTTTGTCAACGGTATATATCCTATTTTATTAATTTGAAATTCAGTTTACCACAAATTTTATTACTTAAAAGAGTCTGAGCTGTTTGCTGATGATAGTGACAGTGAGTACAGTACCGATTCAGACGAGACTGACGAGGTTTTTGATGACGACGAAGAAGGCATCCAGCTGGACACGGCGCGCGTGGTAAACAAAGAAAAGAAAAGGAAGGGTAGTTTTTTTGGGTTTTTCAAGAGAATATTGAAATCCCTGCTCGCGGACAGCAAACTGCTGGATAGACGCAAATCTCGCGCCGGCCTAGTTTTCAACCCTCTGAGGGGTTTGAAGCCGCAGGCCACTATTCCAGTTTCCCCCGTCTCACCACCAACTCCACAAGATAGTAATATTAATTTTGCTTTTAATACATTGATTAAACATTAATAAATGCAGCGAGAGACTTTAAGGGATTTTACTATCACACTGAATACTCGGCCAAAAAGATGCTGATGGTGGACGCAGGACTGAATTTCAACATCCCCTTTCCAGCGCTTCTAAGACCGCAACGTGGTGTTGAATTGTACTTGAGTTTTGATTTCACTCATCGCGATAAGGATGATGCGCCTCCATTTGAGGTTCATTCCTGACTACTATTTTTGTTATTGCTTCATTAAAAATTAAATAATTTAGGAGCTCAAGTGTTCCGAACAATGGGCCAAACTAAACCAGCTGCCCTTTCCGCCGATAATGCATCTGGCAGAATTTTACGAAAAAGAGGAGATGCGTGAATTTTACGTTTTTGAAGACCTACAGGACCCCAACTGCCCCACAATCCTGCACTTTGTCTTGTGCAACAAGCAGTTCAGACATTTCAAAGCACCAGGTAAAAATTAAAAAAAGTGCTTGCTGTTTAAAATAAATTTATAAATTTTATAGATGTGCCTAGGGAAAATAAAAGCGAGGACAAGTACGCCGACTTTTCAATTTTTGAAGATCCGTCTGATCCATACTCAACAACAAACTTCCACTATACCTCTGAGCAGTTCAATCGACTGCACGATCTGATGGAATTCAACGTGCGCCTCGCATCGGAAGAGATTAAAATGCAAATTAAAGCCGCGATTGATAGAAAGAAAAAATTGCAATCGCAAACGTCATCAACTGAAGAGTTTAGCGCTGGCGGGTCGATTGGGCGAGAGCGCGAGGAAGAAGAAATTCCTAGCGTTTTCAAACTAGATCCAATCAAAAAAATTTTGCCTGGTGTAAAGGGAACTAAACTCCCTTCCAAAAAGAATAATGAAACTGCAGAAAAGTAGTTCATTACTAATTTAAATTTCCCATTCAAATTGTTTAATATAATTTAAATTTTAAGGAACTGTGTAAGCAATAAAATGTTTATTTTGTATCTGACTATTGATTAAGTTTTCAATAAATGTATAGAAAAAAAATTAATTATGCTTAGTTAAATAATTTTAAAATAAATATTAGGATTAGAAATTATCACTCTCTTATTTTTATTTTAAACAATAAAACTAGCTTAACAATGCAGTAATTAGCATAATGGAGAGTAAGAAAGAGCTAAAGAAAGCGTGGTTAAATGCGGTCATTCAAATCTCCATTTTAGGATAATATTTGAAGAAATATTCTTTTTAGATAGTTGACGTCAAAAGATATTGTCTACGTTTTCTTGAATCTATCAAAATTTCTAGAAAAAAATAACAATAAGTTTAGCTCATTTTCTGCATAACCGGCAGTTATTAACCGCCTATTACTGACATTTAAGTAAGGTTTAAGTAAAGTGAGAATTCAAATAATTATGATAATCTTAATGAGGAATTATATATTATTTGTGATTATTTGTTTTCTTGCAGTTTCCATTCTGTCCAGTACGAGGCAAGAATATTACTATATTTGTAATTGCTTTTTATTCTTATCATCGCTTAATACATTGAAATATATAGGTAAATCCTTCTCGATCCGCCACAATACTCACAGTAACTGTGGTTGACGGAAAAAATATTACCAATGGATGGATGCATGACATGGGCAAAATTCATCACATTTTCAATTAAGATAATTTGAGTTAATATGAAAATCAACAAAAGTTGATGTGCCTGAACCTTATGTTGTGTTTGAGATAAAGGGAACTCCGAACGGGCCAAAAAAGACAAATTACGTCTTGGATTAAAAAAAACCCCGTAAAAAATTTTAATACAATTTATGAATGTAAACAAAATTAAATTAGTTCATATTAGTTATCATGTAGGTGTACCAAGAAGGTTTCAAAGTGAAAAATGCTTTGCCAATTTCTCTATATTTGAGGACCCCAGCAAACCCTACTCAAAATTTAAATTCCAATATACTGCCGAACAGTTCAATCAGCTGCACGATTTGATGAAATTTAACGTGCGTGACGCAGCGGACGAAATAAAGAAGCAGATAAATTTCGCGGTTGATCAGAAGAAGAAATTGCGGCCGCTTAAATTAGCAAGAAAAATGTCTGAACTGACCTCCGTTCGCGAATTTGAAAGTAGAAATAAGTTATCAACTGGGGATTGATGGAGCAAAAATTACCAAATGTATTTATCAAGCAGTAAACTGAGCGGTAATTTCGATTTTTACGACTTCTTGCTTAGCCGGAGTAACTTTTTAAAGTTTAAATTTTAGCAGTTAAAAATGTATATATTACATCCTTTCATTTTATATATTTTAACGCTCAACTGGTTCATTGGCATTTAAAATCAGCAAACTTATATACGGTTGATTTGATTCTCCATCTATGACTCTTTTTTGTTAATAATTTTATTAATTTTTTTTTAGCTTGTGGTATTTAACTTGTTATGGTTGTAGCCATTCTCGTCAACTTACCTAAAAATTAAAATATTTGAATTTTCTTTATGCGTTGTTTATAAATAATAAATTTATATTTGAACGGAACTTTCCGAGTTTACCAAATTTTCCCAAAATCAATTCGAAATCACCTACAAGCTCAAAAAGTAAAATGGCGATTATTGATATTTAAATTGAGCTTTCTGAGATTGTTTGCAGGGAATAATAACTATTTTCTATCAAGAGAATATGTATTGTTGCATAAAACAAATTACACGGGAAATGCAGGCACCCAAGTCGCCAGCTTTTTTCTGCTTGGTAACAAGTCATCCTATTTGGTGTAGTTTATATACCCCCGCAAGCATTTGCAGCCAAATCACAATTTCTCCTCCTCAGAGGTGTCGACAACCGTTTTTCTGTGAGCATTTTATGCAGTCACGTTTTCCTCGCGAGAGTTCATTAAGCCTGTGATTAATATAGTTTATGCCATGAGGCCTAGCCCAGCAGCTGATTGGCTTCCAATGGAATAATAACTTTTACCATCTGACCGGCGGCGTCTGATCGTGCGGAATGATCGAGTGATATCAAAAGCATCTCGCTTCCGTGGGAATGACCCTTTTAACCCTTTGGCCAATTCACTTTTTTGGATCACGTGAAGCGCCGAGAGCGAGATTTCGCTGCTTTGGGTCAAATTTTTATGTCTTTTTATATTTTGCTTGTGATTTCGCAGTTAAATTTTAGCACACGTTTCCGCTCAGTGCTGCTGTTTGACTTTACAGGGCGGATAATATGTGTCGCTTTCATCAGGCCATGTGTTGATAAACATTTACGTTGATCAACTGCATACATTATATGACGATGACTTTGCTGGACGGGCGCTATGTAATTTAGTTTCAAATTTTCGAAAGTCACGTTTTTAGGATCGAGTGCATCTTGTGCAATGATATGGTCCCTCATGATAATTGACAATTGGGGAGTACAATGTGATAGAAAATTATACGTAAATCATTTAAAAAAATAAATGATGAATTAAAATTTAACTATTATAATAAAAATCCCAGAGTGAATTCAGTGATTTTTTTTTTAAATTTTATTGATATGAAATACCGTGTAATTTACCATTCAGTAAGTGAGAAGTTTTAAATATGTAAATTGAAAAAATTTACTTTAAATTTTTCCAAATCCTAACTAAAATTAGTATGCAATTTTATTAAAATTTGGATTTTATTAAGATTTGTGCAAAAAATTGGCATTAAAAAATATAGCTGGTCCATGGAAATGATAAAAAAAGTCTTTTTAATTTTAAAACTAAAAAAAAATTAATTACTTTGAACGGAATGACTCCTGCGCTGCCGGCGAAAGTGAGGCAATTTAGCCAGTGCTACTGTTACATTTTTTTTGTAAACCAACCAGGCCAGCTCATTATGTAGAGCCAACAATGATACTGAACAATAAAGGTCCCAAATGTGTGTGGCGGTGGCAATAACCAAATGAAGCAAGAAAATAATAATACAAAATGTGGTTGATTTCACTTTCTTTCTTGTACCATCCGAAGGCAGATGTGATATATCAACGCGACGTGAGCAGAGAAAACAAGAAATCACACACATGAACTAATTATATAAATTTCTCTCATTGTTAACTGCGCTCGTCTTCGTCGTCATGAGGCACGACTGGTGCTAGTTACCGCGCAGATTAATAAATTTTTAATTGTCAGCGAACGCCTCGGCAGTCACGCCGATATTATACAGGCAATCTATTTTTGAAACAGCACCCGTCGAATCACTTTTTCTGCGATAAAAAGCGGTTTTCACCGACTTCCTTCCTCTCTCCGTCGTGTATGTCTTATTGCCATTTAAATGCAAAGTGAGAGGGAGTTATTAGTTCATTTTTTTTGTCGGACAACCACACCTCTCTCGCGAGATGCCCGCAGGAGAGGTGAGCTGAAGACTGGCAGGCGTATAAATAGTCGGCATGGCTCCTACCACCGCATCATTCCTCTCTCGATCGACCAACACTCGCTACCAGTACACACAGTCATGGCTGCACTTAAGGTGAAAACCACGATTTGCTCTCTTTTGGCTGCCGAGCCAAAAGATAGAAAGCTTTGCTCGCTCGTGCGGATCGTTTTAACTTTAAATTTTACTTCGGCAGGTTGTCGTCCTCCTTGTGGTCCTGGTGGCCGCCGTTTCAGCCCAGGAAGGATATGGACATGGACACGATGATTACCATGTGAGTATTGCATAGATCAGGGCGAATAAAAAAAAAACAGCAAATGGAAATCAGTTTTAAATTAAAAAAGCTCAATTTTTAAATTTTTTTTATTAAAGTTTGAGATTTACAATTTTAAATAAAGTAATTAGAGTTTGGAATAGGTTTGTCCTCGATAAAGATTTATTTAATGAGGACGAGGCTATTCTTTTTCACTTTAAAAAGTATATAATACTTCAATTTTACTTGTAAATAAGAATTAAAGTTCGTATTTTTTGTTGAAATAAATATAATTAAATATTTTCAGTTAATAAATTTTAGTTATTCTAAGTTTTAATCAATATATTGCTACAAACATTTCAGGCGCACCCTCAGTACAAGTTTGAGTATGGAGTCCACGACTCGCACACCAAGGACATCAAGCAGCAGAGCGAGCACCGCGACGGAGGCCACACCGACTCCGAGTATCAGGTGCTCGAGGCTGACGGCAAAAACACCCGCCACGTGAAGATCACCGTCGACTCTCAGCCCATCCACGGACACCACGGTTAATCAAATCGTTCCTCATCCCGATCCAATCGACCTCCTCCTATCGTTTAACGACATCGGACTAAATGTTAAGTTTGAACTTTATTGTGATTTTTCTAATTAGGAAATAAATGTTTTTTTAAGAAAACTCACCCTCTTTCATTTTCACGATCGTATAAAAAAATAATTAAGATTAAATTTAACTTTTTTGAAGAGGAATCCTGGAGATTTCAAAATATTTAAAATAAAACGGCTGTGCATGCGTTTGTTATTTGTTTAGAATAACAGTTTGAACAAAAGTTTTAACTAAATACTAGGCAATCGAGCTCATAACAAGTCTCAGGATTGGTAGAATCTTTGATTAAAATTCAGTTTTTGTCTTAATTAATTATAAAACTACTTTAATGCTAATTTAAGTTTTCTGCGGTAGACGAGCGTAATTATTTCGGCGGCAAGTCCGAGTGTAAATATTTAATGTGCGTGGCGACATTTGACACGCATACTTCCACCCTTCACTTTGCGCCGCAGCCCTTTTCCAAGCGGGGCAGATAGCCGGCTCGCTTCACCAACAACAATTAGCGCTAATGGACCGGATGGCAAGGGTGCTTAGTTAGTTGGCTTATAAATAAAACACATGCAGCCGACCGCCCTTTCACTCATCCGCGGTATGGAACAGAAATTTAATACAAAACTCTAGCGAAAGTGAGAAAGCTGATAATAAAGAGCTCAATTTATTGCGAATTCAGCAATAAAGTGAATAAATTTTAGGATCCGTGCAAATTGTAACCATAAAATTCTGAAATAGTGTAGATTTTATAAGAATCACTTAAATGTTTTGGTGATTTTACAAAAAAAAAAAAATCCATAATTCCTATAAAGTATTATAAAAATTGATTCAAAATTGAAAATTCCAGGAAATATAAGATGTTTCCGTGTCCTTTCGTAAATCTCCATTGTAGAATTGATGTCAAACTCTTCCTAGCTCATGATTTTTCTGCTCTTCTACAATTTCCCCAAAAGATCAAAGGAACGGTTCTGACAACAGCAATTATTTGAAGCGCGACCGCAAGAGAAACACAGCCGCAAAACGCCGGACAGAGGACCCTTATTTGCATGCCCCTTTGCACCTCAATAACGAGAGAGACTCGCCAATAAAACTACTCTGCAGTCGACCATTGCCGCAACAAAGTGATGACGAGTGGAGTGGGTGCTCTTTTCGTGCGACAAATATAAAACAAATTGCGAAACTCGAGAGCCGCAGAGACGTGCGTGTGCGGTCATTATTTTCCACTTTCATCTCAGAATTTACAAAATAATGAACATTGTAGGATGCTGATTCTTTAAAAAAAAGAACACAAAAAAGGGACGATAACGTTTTGCTGACCACCAACCCACATATATAAACTTTCTCTCACAATTAAAAAAAATCCACTCATGAAGAATTAGTACAAGTAAACCGCATAAGCTAATAACATAAAGAAAGATTTTATGTTCTTAAAATATCCTCAGTAAAAAGTATTTTTGTGTGTGAAATTCTGAAATTGTAATTAATCTAGTGATTTGATTATTTTAAGATATTAGTTTTCTTAAGTGAATTAATAAATTTAAAAGTAAAAATTATAATATTGAACTAGTAATCATCATTATATATGTAGAAAGTTTAGTTGCAGGAATTTGTGATTTTATTATTTTTTTCGAAAGTGTTAATGTGTTAATCGCTTTCTTATGAGCAGCTGCTCTGTGCCGACAAATCAATAAAACGGGGAATCTTTTAATAAGCTGCTGGCGCTCGTCTCTCCATCTCTTTCTCTCTCTCGAATGTCCCTACGGCCGCGTATATGTTATTTGCTCACGGCGGCTAATCCGCGTGTTCTGTGCTGCCTAGGTTAATACCTCCGAGCAGAAATAATCCACGCGCACACACTTTCAGTGAGCTGGCGCAAGTCCACATTGATAGAACATAAATCAAATCCCTCGAGATCTTCTTTGGACGTGGATATAATTGGAGTTGCCAGCAGCCACAAAGGCTTCCTGCGAATTGTATTTTGCCCATCTTAAGTAATCCGTCCCAGCTTATACTTTCTTTTTCAGTCAGCGCGGCAAAACCCGAAAATGTTCATCCACCAAAAAGAGACGCTTAATATATACCCAGTACCGTCTCGCAGAGTAAAAAAAAATTAATTTAGCAATAATGAATATTAAAAATTAAGTTTATAAAGACTTTTAACGTCTTGTTTCTCATTATTATTATAAGTAATTCTAAATTTCGTTACTAATTCAAAAGGTGAAACTGCTCATAAATTAGTTTAAAAAAATGCCATAATTTTCTTTTCCTATAATACAGATATTTTTCACTGCAAGAAGTAAGAATGATTTTCTATTCTTAAGTTTAAAAATATTTTAATAATTTCTCAACAAAAATGTTTTAGGAACGGTAAAATTCCTGAAGATTTTCAATTTTGCCCTTTAAATTTGCAGAGCTGGTTTGTTGTTGTTTAGGATTATTTATATACTTGCGGGTTCATACAATAAACCAATAAAATGGAAATTGACAATGAATTGGGAATGGAATGACTGCAAAATATGTGCGATTATGAAAAAGGCAACGAAATGGAATGGGTTTAAGCATTGGAAAAGAAGTGGAACCATTCCATATTTAATTAGACCCCTCTGGTTCAGAACTAGTTCCGAAAAGGTGCAGAACTGGTGTAGATCTGATGCAGAAATGCTGAACCGGTTCTGCACCAATTCTGTACCATTTTTGCACGAGATCTGCAATAATTCTAAATTTGATAAATTTTGATACGAAAAAGTTTTAAAATCCTGATCTTGATTTATGAAAAAAAAATCATTTCAAAAGCACGTTTTTGAAAATTTCTCCTATTGCTAAAGCAACATGGGTTTTATTTCATTTAAATGAAATCTATCAACAATATTGTTATGTTTAGAAAAATCAAAATAATTAAATGGTATAATAAAAATAATTATTACAATAAAATGCAACATTATTATCCCTAAACTGTTTCGTTCAAATTTTGCTATGTCTTTATTTTAATTTCCCGTAGAATAATTCACAAGCACTTAACGGCTCACCAGATCTGTTAATTACATCATGTCCCTCGTGCCAAACAGTGGTCGAGCATCATCAGGGGTGAGATTGTGTGTGTGCCTATTAGCCGGAGTCACTCTATATTTAACGCACGCGGGCAGGGCGATTAGCCGAATCAAGTTTCGCGCTTCGAGTCGCCGTCGAGTGGTTGTTCGCATTTGCATGTTGATGGGAATATTAGCCGAATATTTTCAGCCCCGAGGAGGCAAACACATTTATCCACGCACGATCCGAAAAACACCCCTGCTCTCGGCCGCACCCCCACGCACCCATCTGGCGTGTTAGTTTGCATATAGACTGTGCAAGAACTTCAATATGTGACCTCTTACGCTCAAGTAGCTGCCGCGCCGAAATTGCTCTCTCACTGCACCGACTATAAACTCTCTCTGCGAAAATTCACTTTCTTGCCGGTTCGATGGGGACACACGCCGCCGAGCGCAAATCGAATTCGCAGCCAATTTGGAGTAAAGGCGAGAAGACAGCCACTTTTGCCGAACAATAACGTTTGCCAAGTTCAATCTCATCACTTGTAATGTCGATTCGCCAGACCAAGGACATATCTTAAAAATCATACATAATTATATATATGTATAAAGTGTGGCCATATATATTGCAAAAATTTATTTACTTTACTTTTAAGATTTATAAAATTAAAATCAGATTTTATTAGAATTAACACAATTTAACAGCCATCAAAAATTGACAGCACCATTACAATACATTTTTTTAAATTATTTGTCCAATTTGATTTTAATCAAAAATTAATTTTAACAATAATATTAATATTTAAATTTATATGTTGTTTAAATTTGGGATTTTAAAGCTATTTGAAATGCTAATAATATGTTAAAATTAATGAAATAATATGAATTTGTTATTATAAAAAATTATGATTTTTAATTTACATTATTTTGAAACGTAAATGTTTTACTAACAGTGATTAAAATTAATTATAGCTTTTCCAAGTGAAATTAATTTAAATGCTTTTTCTTAAAACAGAATGAAGCTCTAGATTACTTAATTAAAAAACGATTGACTTACATTATATTGTCGTAGAACAGGTGATCTGCCTGCAGGCGTTGATTTGATTTTCTTCAGAACATATTCACACAATCAACTTAAAAAATCCACTGAGCCATGATCCATCCATGGAGATGAACGGATGCAGCGCGACTGCAGAACTATGTATAGCATTGTGTAGTATTGAGTTTCATCTGGTTAAAACAGCATACGTTCTTGTTATACGTCATAGTACTTGTAATGACCTTGTGTATTATGTTCTTCAAATCAACGCTGGTATGCGCGGCATGCGCACAAGGAAAGAGTGATTTGCTTTGGAATTTCAGCAAAAACAGGAGCGGGGATTTGACTGCACAACCTCTAAAAGTCTAGAAAGGTGCGAACGATGGAGAGAGAGTAAAACTTGTTGTCACAGTCGCAATTATTAGGTCGCAATTGCAGTGTCAGGAATGGAATAACATTGCAGTGCAAAAATTATTCTGATAAAAGTTTAAAAAATTGAAATATTGTGGGGCTGGTGAAAGTTACATGGAACTGCTTCGAACTTATTTTGACCGGCAGGAAACAACATTTTTTGAGTGACACAAATGATCAACATTATAAATATGATGTCGACTAATATTTTCGAAGAGTTTGAAGACATTGGAGATGAGGATATTTCTATTTCCCTCTAACAAGCGGATCTTCTAGAAAGGTAGGAAAATAAATCATTATTAAAATTATTAATTATTAAAAAAAATCTGATAAAAAATTTATTAAATGGCTTAGAATTGATAAATTATTAAAATTTTTGCAATAGTAGAAGATAAAAAAAATTTCAAAATTTATTTTTGAAAAGGTACGATGTGAAATGATTTTTCAATTGAGGTACATGATTATTTAGTCTAATGTCATCCAGAAGGGCTCTCTCTGTCCAGCTCTATAGCATGACACGCTCTATTTGCGTTTGCATTCTCCATGGGCTGAAGGACTTTACCCTCTCGTCGTCGACTGCCCAGCCCCAATCGGCCGCGGCAATG